AGCCAACTTAAAAGAAATTTTTAAATTAAAAAATTAAAAAAATTTTCATTAAGCTTGTTCTAATCTTAGCCAGCTTGATCACACACAGTATTCCTTTCCAAAGTCTCCTTTTCGACAAATCTTCTGTAACCTTTTTGGTAACCCTTCAGATGTTGTCTTTCCTCTTTCCCATTCTGAAATAACCAGTGTCACTTTAGGACAAAATTACTTGCTTTTCCCTCAAAAAAAAAATGCATCTCCATCCTTTTTTTTCTGAAAGCACACATCCTACTTACCTTTGCATATGGAAATTTTTTTTATTATTTCTAGTAGCTTTAATTAAATATATTAGAATTTTTAATCCTTAAAGACCTTAATTTCTAATAAAAATAAAGAAGTAAACAATTGTGAACTGTCTTTTAGATTAACATTCTGTGGCTTGGCAAATTTATAAATACTTTTCATTATTTTTAAAAACATAAGCCTTCTCATTGTAAATTTTTCAGTGTGACACAAAACATGTTTACTAATAACCCCCCCAAATCTTTAGTTCCGCTATAAAAGGAAACTAAAAAGTAGATAAACCTATGTCCAGTAATTAATGTTTCTGTGTTTTATGTTATTTGGAAATAATCTAGATATTCAGTGACTGTCCATCATTTAATTTAACTTAGCAAAACTTTAAGGTTTTAGGTTACTGGAATGATTTGGGGAAACTATTTAAAAAGTTTGCCCAAAAACTTTTATCTCACTTACATCTATTTAGTTCACTTATTTTGAACAATTATATTTAGATTGCTTATGAAAATTTCATCATTCCAAGTTATTTCTCTACCTGACAGATTTTGTAACAGGGATAACATGAAATTATTTGACTAGTATAACCAGGTTGATTGAAGTTGTATGACTGCTTTATATTCAGTGTTGATAATTCTAAAGATTGTCTATGTTAATTAAACCAACAAGCTTAAATAAGCCTTAATACTGAATGTTTTTCCAGATCATGTGAACCTGAAAAGCATCTGGGTTAGTTTCAATTATATTTTGGAGAATTTTATGAATAATCTATATAAATACTTAATTTTCTTTAAGCCAATTAATTAATTAATCTTTTACATATTAATTTGGTAATACTATCCGGAGGTAGTAAATACCACACATCTACAATGCATGTACATAGATGCATGTAAACATATAGACTGATGCAAACAGAGACCTTATAGCTTTCATTTTAAGATTGTAGCCATGAGACAGGTATGATAATGCAAAACTCACTAGCTTATAAAAGAACAGTTTGTGGGGATGAGCACTGGGTGTTATGTGGAAACTAATTTGACAATAAACTATTTGTAAAGAAAAAAAAAAAAGAACAGTTGGAGTAAGTTAAATTTACCTACTCAGATGGCTAAATCTTTTTCTATATGTGGAGAAGACATTGAAGATTTGTATTTATCCTTGACAAACAATTTTATGAAGGCTGTAAACTAGATTTTGGACAAGGGACCTTCTGTAGCAGTTTGTATTTATAAAAAGCCTCCCCTACCCCACTTTTTTCGTTCAGTCTTAGGAACTGGGGATGGTTTAGATCAGAGTTTTTGGGGAAGACCCGGTAAAACATGTACATCTCAAAGGCATAGGGAAAGAACATAAGTTCCTCCAAAACTACTTACAAGCTTTTGAGATAAATGCGAGGGTTTTAGGGATTGGTAAAAAGAGTGGGTGGACTTTGAATTGTTGCTAGGGCTGCATTTCTGGTTTCGCAAAGATCTGTAAGATAAGAACAGTTGCTTTTAATTTCTCAAGGAATTGGATTGTAACGTAAATTCATAGGTTGGTCCACCCATCCAAACACATTAGTTTCAATACGCTTTTTTTTTTTTAAAAAATGTTTTTTAATGTTTATTTATTTTTGAGAGAGAGCATGAGCGGGTGATGGGCAGAGAAAGATGGAGATACAGAATCCAAAGCAGGCCCCAGGCTCTGAGCTAACAGCACAGAGCCCGATGCAGGGCTCAAACTCACAGACTGTGTGAGATCATGACCTGAGCCGAAGTCGGACACAAAAACCAACTAAGCCACCCAGAAACCCCTTCAATATGCTTTTTATATCGATGAAAATATTTTCAATGAAGGTGGAATTCAAAAGACTTCTATGTTCTGGATTTTGAGTTGTTTGTAATGTTTTAGTAAACCCGTCCACAAAAGCTTGGGAAGGTTTTTTTTCTTTTCCTTTGTATTCATAGTTTTTATATTAGCTCAGGGGAGAATACCAAAGAAAAACTCCTATCAAGCCTTGAATACCAGTTTTTAATCTGGCCAACTTCTGACCACAGAAAGTGGTACTTAAAAAAAAAAAATCCTTTAAAATTTTTTTTTTTTTATGTTTTATTTATTTCTAGGAGACAGAGAGAGACAGCGCGAGCAGGGGAGGGTCAGAGAGAGAGGGAGCCACAGACTGAAACAGGCTCCAGGCTCCGAGCTGGCAGTCAGCACAGAGCCCGACGCGGGGCTCGAACCCACGAACCGCGAGATCATGACCTAAGCGAAAGTCGGACGCTTAACCGACTAAGCCACCCAGGCGCCCCAAAAAAATCCTTTTAAATATCAGTCAATTTTTAGCTGAGACAAACAGTAAATATTCCTGGCAGTTTTAAATAACTCCTTGGACTCAAGCGGCATCCCCAAAGAGGGTACAAAAGATCTTTTTTTTCTTCTCTACTGGTTTCCATAGATAGAGATCAAGGAGAACAGACTCTGGTAAGAGTTCTCACACTAAGGCAACTTCGCCTTTCCTAGGACACATCTGCAAGCTCCTACTGGAGTATAAAGTAGGGTGTAGCTTTGGTATCTTCCAAAATTTGGCAAGGTTTTCCATTAATTTTAAATTCAGTTTCCCTTGGCTATTTAAGGGAATAGGTAGCAATTTACCTGACACTCCCTCAGAGTCCTGTCAACCCTCCTTCAAGGGTAGAGATGAGGCCGTGTGTAAGGCCACCAACTTGGTGGACTTTAGTTTATGGTCTTGCAGTCTTCTCAGAGTGGAAAGATGACTTCGAGCATTACTAAAAATGAGTACTCAAATAAAGGAGGATAGAGAGTAATAGCAGGAGTTAACTCAGTCTTACAGTCTTATTTTATGTACCTCTTGTGTTTTTAAATTTTCACGAGCCTTTTGCAACGAATCTTTCAATGAAGGTATTTGGGAATTTTGAAGCCTTTTGGAGGCTTCTACATGCAGGTTAAAACAGGTACATGCCATTCTGTTTGTTTGATTGGGAACCCTTGCTTTTAGGGTGATCTTTGTTTTTTAATTTTTTAAATGTTTTATGTATTTTTGAGAGATAGAGACACCGTGAGCAGGGGAGGGTCAGAAAGAGAGGGAGTTACAGAATCCGAAGACAAGCTCCAGGCTCTGAGCTAGCTGTCAGCACAGAGCCCAACGTGGGGCTCGAACCCACGAACCATGAGATCATGACCTGAGCCGAAGTCAGACGTTTAACTGACTGAGCCACCCAGGGTACCCTCTTTTAGAATGATCTTAACTGATTCTACTATTCCTCATAATGTCCATTGTGTTCTAGGTTGTAATTTACCTGAGGGCTTATAGCAGTTTGGTAGGACCCTAGCCAAAAATGGAGGTTAACTCATATTTTCTGTTCAGCCATAGCTAGTGGTAAACGGGGTTCAGCCCACATTTCCTTCTGGTCATATTTTGGGGGCCCCAACCTGATGGTTGCCAAGCCAGCTTCTTAAGGACACAAAATATGCTTAGTAAGATTTTGTCATTTGGTAGATATTTATAGCTTCCAGGATGATAGTTTTTAGACTTAAAATAAGCAAGTATGCTAGAGGGTGGTATGCTATGGAATTTAAGGACCTCTCTCTCTTTTTTTTTAAGCTAAGTGGGTTTCTCAAAGGCAGATTAATACCTAAGAGGAACATGCTGCTTGGTTGAGGATTGTGTGATGTTTTACACTGTACATAGTTGTACCAAAATTTTCTGAGGTTGGTGGGTGACCTGTCAATGTAACAACCATCTTATCCTAACACAGGAGTCTTAGAGTTGGGTGGCAAGTTAATAGCTTTTAAAAGTTGAACCCATGTCCAGCAATTTTGCAGCTCTTGGTCTCCAGGATTCCAATTAGCAATGGACTTTATCTACAAAAAAATAAGACAGACATGTTCACTTTAATACACCAGCAATAACCAAGAAGTATTCCCCCAACCTGTCCCAGAGAAGGACTGGCACACCACTACCAAATCTCAACAAATGGGGACCATAGCCTAGGATTCCACATACTGGGAAGCTATAGATTGAACCTACGAGGAGTTCCCAGTGTGGAATCTGAGGGTTAAATCAAGGGCTGGGATTTCCATTCAAATGGGGAATTTTGGACTGGAAAGCCAATTAGATTAGGAGCTCAGTGCAAAGAAAGCAGAGCTCAGAACCAAGAGGAACTTAGATCATGGCCCTTAGAAATGGCAAGAAGGACAGAGAGCTCAAAGGGCTTGCGGGTATCATGTTTGTGTTTCTTGTTGTCCCTGAAGCCATCAGAAGTTTTCATTTGGATCCAAATGCTCCCATCAAATCTGTTAAAAAAAAGAACAAAGTTCAACAGAGTAAATTTAAAAATCTGATTGCTTTATTCAGTGATTCATGAATTGGGCAGCATCCCATCTAGTAAGTAGAGAAGAGCTCTGCAGAGCTATAAAGATGGAAGACTTCTACAGGCAGAGGGACATAAAAAAGAAGCTACTACCAAAAAGTGGATTGTTTGAGTCAAGGTCACCTTCCTTCAGGGACTGCTGGAGTCCACCAGATGGATTTCCTCACTAGCTGACCAGGAAATTCAAGTCTGACTAGTTGTTATGTTAGTGGGAAAGGATGAAACTGCCATTAGGTATTAAGTCTCAATCTGATGACACGGGGTTAGCACAAGCAGCAACTCCATTTGGGACCTGTTGTTTCTTTTTTAACAGATGTTATAACTAATACATTATTATTTTGTATCTTAACGTAGGTGAAGAGAACTGGCCTTGTGGTGGTGAAAAACACGAAAATTGTTGGTCTCCATTGTTCTAGTGAAGATTTACATGCAGGGAAAATTGCTCTTATAAAACATGGGTCAAGGCTGAAAAACTGTGATCTTTATTTTTCTAGAAAACCATGTTCTGCTTGTTTGAAAATGATTGTAAATGGTAAGTATAGATAAGGTTTGGTTGGGGATTAATAGTATTTATCTAAGAATAATCAAGATATATTGCTTTCACACCACTAAGATAATTTACAACTGTAAATACATATCAGAATACAGTTGATACACTGTAAGCAGTGTCAGAAAAACAGATTCTGGTCTCAGCCCTGCCACTGACTAATTACATGACTCTTCCTGTTTTAGTAGACTACTGCTAGCTGCTATAACAAACACCAGGTATTAGTCCAACATAGGTGCTGGTGAACAGCAGGCAGCTTTTCTTCATGTGGCTGTTTCATGGGTGTAGGCATCCTCTGTCACACTGCCACTGTTGTCTTCTAGAGCCTTGAGTCCTCTATAGCCAGAGGCCAACTGACACAGAGCATAGGAAGGCATACCTGCTTCTAAAAACACTGGCCTTTCTGTTCACATCCACTGTGGGCTCTGTAGTTCCTGGCTGAGCAGCTGTTTTCCAATGACTGTTCTGTACTTCAGAAGGCAAAGCACAGATTGTTAATGTTTAACTATTTATCTCTGCTGCATCAGACTATCACTAAAGCTCTTTATGCTTATGATTCTATATTTTTTTAAGTCTATTTCTTTATTTTGAGAGAGTGAGAGAACGCACACAAGCGGGGGAGGGGCTGAGAGAGAGGAAGAGGGAAAATCCTCAAGCAGGCTCTGTGCTCAGCATGGAGCCTGATGTGTGGCTCCATACCACGAGCCATGAGATCATGACCTGAGCCGAAATAACCAACTGAGCCACCCAGATGCCAATTAGGATTCTATTTTGTAGCCAGGTAAGTATGCAGACCATTCTCCCATTTAAAAAATATTGTATCTTTTACATAGGCAGCATGATATTGTAACGGAGAATATGAATTATATATTTGGTTTTCATCCCATTCCTGGCACAGAGCAACTAAAAGCCTTGGAATTTCCAGAGTGATGAACGTGATAGAGGTGTTTTGTTATTCCCGACAAGCCCCCTTCAGCCACACCTGAGTTTGTTAGAGAAGTGACTTTTGGGAAACTCCACTGATGGGGGCCTGGTTGCCAGGACAGCTAAGCGGGTGACTAGAGGGTTGGAGATTTCAACCTCACTCTTCAGACCCTGGAAGGAAAGAGGGACTGGAGTTTTTGAGTTCCGTTACCAGTGTCAGTAATTTAATCAGCTGTGCTTCTGTAATGAAGCCTCCTTAAAAACCCAAAAAGGTGGGGTTTGGAGAGCTTCTGGGGAGGAAAAAACAAAAAGGCTTATATAGTTATTAATCTCTTCCTTCCAGTTGCTGTTTCGGTTATTTGTGTTACAACTTAAAGTAACACATCATCGAATACCAAATGAGTGATAGAGACTGTTAAGTAGTACATGAACTCAGAAGCAAAATAGTGATCCATGCAGGTTGGCATGTTATGAAAGACTGGGGCTTAATCTGGATCTTGATGGATCAGATATAGAGGAAGAAGAAAACATTCCTGGTCAGGGAGACGGCACATGTGAGAAGCAAAGTTCTAGGAGTCAGTGATTTGAAATGGAGAATTATTATTGGAAAGAATAGTGGCAGATGGATTAAAATGAGAAGTTGGGACTTTAATGGAGAACTTTGAAGAACAGTGTATGACCTTTGTCTTTGTCTTATGGAACAGAGTTTGTACACTTGTTTTGAGGAAGAGCTATTTTTATTTACATGAAAGTCTTAAGAGTAAAGATCAGATCCATAGTAAAGGCAGTGCCCTTGAGCTACATACAAGTGGAGGCACGTCCAGAAGCAGTGGTCGTGTAGCTAGAGCCTTCTGGCCTGCAGCAAGTATTTCAAGCAGGTAGAGCACAGATACTACTGATTTTGTAGTCTTTTCCCTGCCATTATAAATAGAGAGATAGGGATTTTTTTCTTTTCTTTGTTAATTAATTGTGCAGATTGGATATTCATTTTATTAGATCACGTGTTAATTGACGTATAAACTCTATTAATGATAGATAATATGTAGCCATGGAACCTTCTTGAGCAGGATGTAACATGATTAAAATTACTATTATTACTTTTGAATTTTTTGTTATTGAAACAGATAAGAGGTTGAGAGCTCATTATGCTGGGTGTAAACATGGTATAAAATAGGGTGGAGATGGTGACATTGATATAGAAAGAAAAGTATGTGAAAAGAGCAAAACATTTGTTGACTGATCACTTCTAGAGTCAAGGGAGAAAAATGAATAAAATATAATTGTGTTTTGTGCTGAGCTGACTATGCTGAAAGCAGTCTTAATAGCCTCAGAGCTATTAGAGAATTAGAATTAGAAAGAATTAGAAAAATAGGGGAGTGCAAGTAACTCACCACTGCTTGATGTCTTTTGAGTTAAGATGTTTGAACTTGGCAAAACAAATAATTAAGTGTGGAAAATCAAGAAGGACCTACAATGGAAATGCTTTCCTGTTAATGTTAAACCCATATATAAATAAAATTGTGGTTCTATTAGGCTTATATATTTTATCTTGGGAAGGGTCATGGTTTAACCCCATGCTATAACGAAGTTACTTTAGTTACAATTACTATTTAGTCAGTTGCTAAGGAAACATTTCTAAAGCATGGTTGTTCTCAAAGTATAGTTTGTGGATTCCTGATGGTCCACAAGATCAAATTGTTTTCATAATAATACTATGTTTATACTAATAATACCAAAACAGTGATGAGTAAAAACTGTTGCCATGGTATGAATCAAGGCTACAGTAGTCCTTGTACTCTTTGTGGACATGAACTTGGAGTTAAAAAAGAGGGTTTCATGGGGTGCCTTAGTGACCCAAATTGGCTAAGTGTCTGACTAAATTTTGGCTCAGGTCATGATCTCACAGTTGGTAAGTTTGAGCCCCGCAACAGGCTCTGTGTTGACAGCATGGAGCCTGCTTGTGATTCTCTCTCTGCCCCTTCCCTGCTTCTTCGTTCGTTCTCTAAATAAATAAATAAATAAACTTGAAGAAAAGAGCGTTTCATGTAAGAATGTCCTTGATGAAACAGTAAAAATTATTAATTTTATTAAGTCCCAACCCTTGAGTTCACATTTTTTTAATATTTGGTGTGAAAAAAATAGGAGGTGGACCTAAAGCACTTGTGCTACAAACCTGAGTATGAAGGTTACCTGAAGGAAAGCCACTTAACATGTACAGTTGTTTGAGTTATTGTATCCAAACTAACTGGACTTTATGAGTCGGCTCCTTGGTGGAGTTGTCATAGAAAGGAAACTTTATTTGCAGCAAATAAGGGGCTATGGGCAAGCAATGAGAGCTGGTATCAACTGGATGGGGTCTTGGGCTCCTTGTCTCTGGTAAGGAATGCAGGTCCTTGTTTACTTTTGAAACAGCACTGTGAGTTTTTACCACTGAATTACTGTGACTGAAATGATTAGGCTATTTCCAGGCCTGGTAGATATTGTTAGTTTTTGCATTCCCTTTGTTCCCTTAAAATCCGTTGGTGTTTTTAAAAAAATTGTTTAATGTTTATTTACTTTTGAGAGAGAGAGAGAGAATGGGAGCATGAGAGCAGGGGAGGGGCAGAGAGAGAGACACAAAATCCAGAGCAGGCTCCAGGCTCTGAGCTGTCAGTACAGAGCCCCACATGAGGCTTGAACTTACAAACAGTGAGATCATGACCTGAGCCGAAGTAAGATGCTTAACCACTTAACCAACTGAGCCACCTAGGTGCCCCTTAAATCCTTTTGCATTTCGTTGTAATTCTGACACTTCCTAGGAAGTTTTGCAAGAAATGTGTCAGGGCTACGAGAGCTGGTAGGCGTAGATTGAGGAGCATAGCTGGGGGCCTAAAATGACATCTCTTTCTTTTTCTGGGGACCCCTAACTCTTTATGCTTATGTTATGAACTGAACTTTCCATTTTTTTTCTTCAGGGAACACTGTGAACTAACAAACTGTAATTTTCTAGACTTGGCTGCTTGGCAGCATTCTCTCAAAACAACTGATGGTATTTGTTACCAATAATAAAAGTTGAGTCTTCAAGTGGCACTCGGGTGGCTCAATTGGTTAAGCATCCAACTCTTGCTTTTAGCTCAGGTCATGATCTCACAATTTGTGAGTTTGAGCCCTGCTTAGGATTCTCTCTCCCTCTCTCTCTGCCCCTCCCCCACTTGTGTGCATGCCTTCTCTCAAAATAAGTAAATGAAACTTAAAAAAAAGTTGAGTCTTTAAGTGAAAATTAAAATTTTGAAAAACTTCCACCATCATGAGCAACATGTAGTTTCCTGACACTTAAAGACTCTTCTGATGTGATATCAATGATGGTCATATAATGAATAGGACTTTTTTTAATATTGTAAAATCAGTAAGCCAGTATTTCCAAATGACCGATGCATGATGGTACAAAACCATGCATGAGTGAAAGTGAAGTGCACAATACACCAATGGACTTTAACATAATTGTACAAAAGGTTTGTTGCTATATTTCAGATTCCACATTATAACTAACCTTTAAGAAATTATCCCTTGTAGGTTCAGTCGTTTAAGCATCCGACTTCAGCTCAGGTCATGATCACATGGTTTGTGGGTTCGAGCCCCGCATCGGGCTCTGTGCTGACAGCTAGCTCGGAGCCTGGAGCCTGCTTCCAATTCTGTGTCTCCCTCTCTCTCTGACCCTCCGCCGCTGTTCACGCTGTTTCTCTCTCTCTTTCTCTCTCTGTCTCTCTCTCTCTCAGAAATAAATAAAAAATATTAAAAAAAAAAAAAGAAATTATCCCTTGTCAAATTTTTATGTAGTGTCAAAGAAGAATATTCAGTTACCCAAAATGGCTGTTAAAATATTCCTTTTTCAACTACACATCTTTGTGAGGCTGGATACTTTTCATATACTTCAGTGAAAACAACCTACGACGACAGATTGAAAGCAGGAGCAGATTTGAGAATCCAGCTGTCTTCTGTTAAGCTAAATAACGAAGAAATTTGTAAACATTTAAAACAATGCCATTCTTCTCAGCTAGCTTTTGTTGCTGATTTGGAAAATACAGCCTTTTTTTTTTATATTGAACTGTTACTTATATTAATGTATAGTACATTCTCTATTCCTTTAATGAATTGATAAATATTTTTTGAAATTTGAACTTTCCAATACAGTAAATATCAATAGGTATAATCTACATAAACAAAGCTGTTTGGAGTTCTCATTAATTTTTAAGAGTGTAATGACATCTGAGACCAAGAAAATCTGAAAACCTCTGCTTAGCATCTGTCACTGGTACAGGAACATTTGTTCAAGACTAGTCATCCCCTCTTCTCCTTAAATCAGGATTGCTAGAAGCAACCAGATGCTTAGATGAAAGATTGACTATCACTACTGAGTAGGAAATAGATTATGAGAACTCCAACAGAGGGAAGGTGAAATGCAGCCACAGGAAAACTTCTGATATTAGCTCTGAGGCCTTCAAAATTGATTTATAACCTGAGCCACAGTAAGACTCAGGAGTAGCAGGGGGTAGATAGAAACGTGCCCTTGTTCAACTAAGGCTTTTTAGTTCATCTGTTACTTTGAACGTAGGACACCCTGTGAGCCATCCGTCTTTTTCACTTCTGGGCACAGTCATAAAAAAGTCTCTCCTAGCTGAGATTGCATGAGATATTAGCAAAGGGGTCTCTTTGTAAATGACTAATTTTGATGAACGTTTTGAGTGCTTAACGCTATACCCTGTATAAGGCATTTCATTGTTCTCTCTCGAATTCAAAAATTTTTTTTCATCTGTTTGTAATCTAGTTTTGTTTTCTATTTTGTAAATTGATCATATGATTTTGCCTCTCTTGAGGCCTTATTCTTATCAATTCATACGTGCTACTAATAAAATCTTCTCTGTATATTAAAGATTACTAACCTACTGTCACATTGAAAATTCTAGTTTATTGTCTTGTTTTTAATTTTGTAGACTTAAAAGATTAATATTGTTTTCCCATCCCCCCAGCACACACACACACACACACACACACACACACACACATTGTTGCTCTCACATTATTTTGACCATTTAGGTTTTTTTCTATATTTTTACTGTTTTAAACAGTGCTGCACTAAATATATGCATGCATGAATTTTTTTGTTTCTATTTAGAATAATTTATTTTTTTTTATTTAAAAAAATTTTTTAATGTTTTATTTATTTCTAGGAGAGAGAAAGAGAGAGACAGCGTGAGCAGGGGAGGGTCAGAGAGAGAGGGAGTCGCAGACTCTGAAACAGGCTCCAGGCTCTGAGCTGGCAGTCAGCACAGAGCCTGACGCGGGGCTCGAACCCACGAACCGCGAGATCATGACCTAAGCGAAAGTTGGACGCTTAACCGACTAAGCCACCCAGGCGCCCCTGTTCTTTTGATTTTTTGCAATTATTTAAAACTATAAAATCCATTCTTAAATCTCCCAGCTGTACAAAAACAGGCAATGAGACAGATTTGGCCCATGGGCTATAGCAACCTATAGTTTGCCAACCCTCTGTATTATAATTGACTTCATAATAGACATTTATTATATTGGGACCTCTGGATCTACCACAATGATACGGTGGATTTATCAAGAAAACCCTTAATTTCAGCATGTATCTGATAACTATCTTTCATATTTTATATTTCAGCTGGAGTTAACCGAATTTCATACTGGCCTGCTGATCCAGAAATAAGTTTGCTTACTGAGGCTTCTAGTTCTGAAGATGCAAAGTTAGATGCCAAAGCAGTGGAAAGATTGAAGTCAAATAGTCGGGCCCACGTGTGTGTCTTACTTCAGCCTTTGGTGTGCTATATGGTGCAGTTTGTAGAGGAGACCTCTTACAAATGTGACTTTATTCAAAAAATTGCAAAAACACTGCCGGATGCTAACGTTGACTTTTATTCTGAATGTAAACAAGAAAGAATAAAAGAATTTGAAATGTTATTTTTGGTTCCAAATGAAGAAATGCATAAGCAAATACTAATGACTATAGGTTTGGAGAACCTATGTGAAAATCCTTACTTTAGCAATCTAAGGCAAAACATGAAAGACCTTATCCTACTTTTGGCCACAGTAGCTTCCAGTGTGCCCAACTTTAAGCACTACGGATTTTATTGTGGTAATACCGAACAGATTAATGAAATTCACAATCAAAGTTTGCCACAAGAAATTGCAAGGCACTGCATGGTTCAGGCCAGGTTATTGGCATATCGAACTGGTGAGTTATATGCTTAGTACATAAATTGGGGCTGATTGATTGGGTTGTGATTGTCTTAGAAGTGAAATGGTATTCATCTCATCCATGGTAGAGTTCATTTACTCTTAGTACTGAAGTTTTGCTGGTCTTTATATCTATAGAAGTTAGTGAGACCCTTGAGTAGACAACTCAGCAGTTTTAGGATTCCTTGTGGCCTTATATTCAGTGCTACATTTATAAATCAGTGCCTGATCATGTAGGCCCTTCTTTCTGCTTCCTGCTTTTGTGTTCTCATTGTTCATTGAACCCTACACTAGAGATGGGACAAAAAGAGAAAGAGAACCAAAAATTATTTTTAATTAAATTCTCAATATTTTGTATGTATTCAGTATTTAATAAAAACTTTGAAAATCTTTACAATAAAAAAAAAGGATCAAAATAACTGAATTAAAGGAATATTGACAAATTCTTCCCATTGCTGGTATGTCTTCCATCAGCAGGTTGAGAAATCAAATATTTTTAGCTTTATTAAGTTGTGCATGAGTGTATATGTGAAAAAGGAAACTGTTACTTGGGAATTTTCTTTATTGTGATAAACGATGGCATCTATATTTTCCAATCATAGGACATTTTCACATCTTACCAGACATAAGATTTTTCAAAGTAGAATCTGGATCACTTTTTAAAATGTGACTTTGAAATAAGGGGGAAAAGATACAGGCAGGAGGAGCAGTAGAGTCAGATTTGGTGAAAGGAGGATTTTTTTTTTTTTTTAGCTTATTCCATGAAAGAAGGAGAAGGAAGGAAATCTTAAGAAAGGTCCATACAAATCCCACTGGTCTGCACTATATTCTAAACAAAGACCACAAAGTGCTTTCAGTAGGAAGCATATCAGAATCACAAAACTTTTATTAAAAAGCGCAAATGCTCCGATTTCAACCCAGACCTACTGAACAGAGCTCCTAACGGTGCGGCCTAGGTTTATGAATTTTTAAAGTTCTGCAAAGGATTCTGCCATTCAGCAGGTTTAATAATCACTCAACTCTTTTATTAAAGAATGTAGTTCTACTACAGGCATAAGCAGTATGACTCCAAACAATTGTGTATAAGTCTGATTTAATGTAATTATGTTGTATCGTGTGCTGCATATTAGTCTCTGCCAGAATCAGCTTTGTAAAGAATTTTTCTCTAAACCATTCTGGAGGGGCAGAAACATAAACAGGAACAGCTGTTACAGCTATAATTCACTAATTCTCCTTTGCTAATTAGAATTCAGTTGATTCCAGAGTGAGCGTAAGCTGGGAGATCAGAATCTGCTGTTCTTTTACTTGATCTCAGTACCTCTTCTCATAGAAGACCATCTCATCATACCACATATGATTCCAGTGTGTAAAGATGCAGTGATACAAATTTGCAGTGATAACAGATACAAATTTGTATCTATGTTCTTTACAAGATACTCTAAATTTATCCACTATTTCTGTGCAGAATTTTATACATAAAGTTGTGCTTCTGCACTTGGTGGGTAACTTAAAAGATTTTTCCAGGTTAATTTTTTTATTGTGAATAACGTTTTTGCCTGGAACCGAAATCATGAATAGGATGCAACTCTGTCACACACTCCACTCCACTCTCTGCTTCCCAGGGAAGAGAACCATCATTTTTTCCTTAGCACTAAGCATGGAGTGCTGAATGGATAAAGGAAGTCTTTTAATATCCAAAGGTAAATGGTCTGCAATCCCTTATCCAAAATTCTTGGAGCCACATGAAAAGGAGTTCAGAATTTTACAGATTTTGAAAGGTAATATGGTACATGTATATGATGCAGCACTCCAGGGGGTACAGTGCATGATAATCAAGCACATACATGTGGAGTAGAATGTATGAATATGTGCACTAAATATTTGGTCAGGTGTGGCCATGAAATAAGTACATCAAGCTGTCAAACAACAACTTGGTAAAAGGGATTTCAGAAAACAAATTCTGGACCTGTATAATGGTAACAATTACTAAGTACCTAGAATGTGTCAGGCACAGAGCAGGGCAATTTATATATGTATCTCATTTAACACCGAGGGCAGTACAGCAAGGTAGATACCCCCCGTGATAAGCGTGTCCTTATAACTCAGGCTTTTAATTTCACACTGCTTAGCTTGCTTTGACTTTATTTCACCCTATAGGTGAAGACACCATTTCATTAAACATTTTATTTAAAAATATGAGTAAAATGAATTCCAGAACCTCTAACAACAGAGTTTCAAAAATAATTGAGAAGCTGGTGCTTAATAATTGTGTTTTAAGTGATGAATAAATAGGCTCTACAGAGGTGTCATTAAAGGAAACTGTGAGGTAGCAAAAATGTGACAAAATTCATTTAGACTCTAGAGGGGAAAAAAGAGGAAGGCACTGCGTCTTGTCTTCCTGGTTTAAGTATGATTTTAAAATCTTTTTTGGGGGTCCCATTTTCCGTTAGACTGTTTTTTCCAAAGCTGAGGATTATGCCTTCCTCCTGAACCACAACTTGATGATGAAAGTAGGCTGGAATAGCCGTGAAAGTTAACTGCTTAAGATCATAACTTGGTGGTTCTCAACTTGTAGTCTGCCTATGAATAAGAGGCGATGCTCATGAAAAATGCAGGTTCCCGAACCCTGCCTGACTCCTTTGGAGAGGTCACTTCAGGGGATTTCCCTGGGAGCCAGGAGTCCTTTTTTTAGCAAACATCCAGTGATTCTGATAAAGTGACTGTGGACCACACTTGGGAAAATGCTAACATGACCACAGAATCAGGAGCTAAAATAACCACACTTGTGTTCCAGAATCATGAGCTAAAGAGTTCTCTGACTTTTGGTGATTGGAATCTCAGGAATTTGGCTCAGTGATTAGAAGTTGACCTTTACCTTCAGAGGAACACAGAGAAAACCTGTGAATGAGCAGATCATGGGGAGCAATTTCTGTAAAAATTGCAGACATGAAAAGATTCTTGAGAAATTACCTCATCTGTCATCCAGCCTTGGAGCTGTGTGAAGTCTACTCCATCTAACATGGGTGAAATTTTATTCTGATTTTAAAAGACATAGAAAAGAATATTCTGTTGGTTTAACTAACCCTAGCTAGGCAGTAGAGCCACATACTGAGGGAAAAATCACATTTTTCCCCCTCCCGACAAGGTTTAGTCTGTCCCCAGACTGAAACAGAAAAAGTGGCTCCTGAGACTTAAAAAACATAACATGAAAAATACTTCGTGTCGATGGTAGGAAAAATAGACTCTTGATATGAAGAATTTCTATTTCAGTTCTCATTGTTTGTTTCAGGTTTATACATGATAATTTTACTTAAAAGTTTTGGTTTTTCAGGCAAATATAATCTTATGTTTATTATGCCACTTGCCTTAGAAATGAGCATAAAGCCATAATTATATTCTTTTCCACCCTTATGTTATATTCTGAATGCCTTGGGAGGAACAAAATTTTGTTTACATCAAAATCTCTTCCCTGAATCTCCACTCTAGAATAAGCCTTCCCATACTCTCCATTCCCAGCATGGTGTTCATTTCCATTCTATTAAAAGCACAGCACATAGGTGCTTATATGTTTGCTTCTTCCTGTCTCCCTCCCACATCGGTCTATAAATTTCATGCATACAGGAACTTTTCACCATTGTCTTAGTTGGGCATTTCATAAAGGGAAATCTTTGTTATGACATTCTTAATGTCAAAGGGAGGGGTAGGTTTCATGTAGTGGGCTATATTTTAGTCACTTGATTACTTTGCCCGTTTACTTATCTAGAAAAGGAAATTTTATCTGTTTTACCTCTATGGTAAAAATAAGATAATGTTTAAAAAGTGCTTAAAATAAATTACACAAATGCTTTGTGATATAATTGTGAAAACTCGAGCTTGCTTGAACTGAAGATGGGGAATTTTGTTATAGTATCATAATTTTTAAAAATTAATTTATTTATAAAGCAAACTAGTTTTTAATACCTAGATGGAATAAAGTTATCAATGGAGGGATTAACTTTTAGGAAATTGTAGGATGAAACTACAGTTTCATTTAATCCTTACCAATATGAAAATGCCTTAGTTAGTTCACAGATGATTGTTACCATCTCTGTGTAAATGTACCTACTTAACAACATCAGTCCTTTCCCTTATTAAGACTTTAATAAATATTGTGGTTTTCATAACTACTGTATAATTGTCTTTAGAAATTTAAAACTTGTATTAGTAGAAGGAAAAAGTCAATCCTTGATGTGGAGAATTTCTATTTTGGTTTTTTAAAACCAGATTCATGGTTTTAAGAAATACAGCTTTATTTGTTGTAGAGGTTTTGGTTCTGCAGGGAAAGTTTAACCTTATGTTTATAAGTTCTGCCACTTGATTTAGAAATGAGCATCATTCACTAAGTTGGCATTCTTTTCCCCTTAAAATAAACTCTGAAGGTCAGGAAAAGGACTTTCATATAGCTATAAAAGCCCATTAAAACTTGCTTTTGTTTGTATTATAAGTTTGAGCTTTCTTAGCAATAATATTTCCATAAAATGTATTTTCCATGATTAGAGTGCAAAAAATGCTAGAAGACAGATTTAATTGTTGTGAACTATTGTTAACATTAAATTCATCAGTTCAGAAACTTCTTTTTAAGCCAATTCCATCATCTGTTAGAAATAGTCTTTTAGAAACTGATTTGTTGGTGGAGAATCTATAAAATTACACTCAGTTCTGGTTATAGCTTTGTGGTGCTCTGGCTGTGAGCACTGCCATTATCACGAGCTCAGCACAGACCATGTGTGATTGGGTTGGTAGTGACACTGTCTGGTTATTTAGTACCTGGTCCCCATATTCCATGCCTGAAAGTATTTACTTTAGTGGTGAACTTTTACTAAGTAAATTTATTTAGTAATAAAAAAGTATTTCTGTAATTAGTGAAGATGTCAAGGATCGCGGCTACATTGTGAAATATGTTTCAATAATATGTATTGTTTTTGGAAACATGTATTTTTGAAACTAACAAATCACTGATCCTTACTGTGTTAAATGACATTTATCTTTCAGAGGATCATAAAACTGGAGTTGGAGCAGTCATTTGGGCAGAAGGAAAATCTGTAAGTATGAAAGTAATTCTTTAAACACTTAACCTTGACTTTGTTTAAACCTACTTCAGTCTTAAGTGCATTACATTTTATTGACCCATTGGGGTTAATATTTCATTTTGGTGCATTTATTAAATTCTATTTGATCATTCTGTCAACAATTGTCTAGGTAGATTAATTGATTTAGCAAACATTTATTAAACATCTTCCACAGGGTAGGTAGGCACTGTGCCACAATGAACAGTGGGGAGGTAAAGACATTTTCTGCCCTTGGTGGCCTTAAATAGTCTGTTAATGGAGACAGGGGAATGAAAAAGGGTCTGGTATATAACTGTAAATATAACATGACACTAGGAGAACATGGACCAGAAGTCTCTACACTGCTTGGAGAAATGAGTAAAATATTCTTGGAGGAGGTAGGGTACTATTCATTAGTCTTGAAGAATGCATAAGAAGGCATCAGCGGAGCACATTAGTGTGACTGGGAAGATAACATGCAAAGGCTGAAGGTGCGAGACAGAATTTGGGAAAATTCAAGTGATTTGGTGTGTAGTCCGCTCTGTAATTTGTATAGTAGAGTACATACTATATGCATAGTAGTGTAACAAAAAACTAGACTGTACCATGTGGAATTTCGTATACCATGTAGAGAGTTTGGACTTTACCCTTTCCACAGTGGGACACTTTAGTGCTAACCAGTAGAAATAAAAAGTAAGTCACACACCTAATTTTAAATTCTCTATGAGCCACATTAAAAAAAAAAAAAAAAGAAACAGGTGAATTAATTTTAAGAATATATTTTATTTAATCATATGTCCAGAGATATTATTTCAACCTGTAATTGGTATAAAAGCTATTAATAAAATATGCTGCTTCTGGGGAGAGTTATTAAGTCTTCACAATCTTGTGTGTCTTTTACACTTACAGTGCCTCTGAATTCACACTAACCACATGTGGCTAATGGCTATTATATTGGACAGTGCAATCCAGGAATATTTTAACTGGGAAAATAATTTGATCAGATTTACATTATAAGAAGAATGAAGTGGGGCTGGACCGCAAATTAGGGAGTTAAGAAAAAGGAAATGATGAGGCCTTGGAGTTGTGGGTTTGGGTTGGAAGGGTATGGAATCAAGAAGACACTTAGTAACTATAAGCCTGGCTGAAAGATGAGTAGGGAGCCTAGATTTTGCCTCAGTTGACTTTATAGCAAGTAATTTGACTGTTTCCCTGGATGTATCATAAGGCCCTCATGTTCAGCCTAGCCAATCAATAATCCAGTGTCTTCCCTGCCATCCTATTCCTTCCTCAGTGGTCACCATACCATTCCCTGTTACACGTGTATAATCAATCACCAAGTGCTATGAATTCCACCTTCAAAAGATGCCTTGACTCTATCTCTGCCCCACCTGTTAACACCTACTGGAATAGGTTCCTCTGCCCCAGGCTCCCATAGCATTCGGTGTACCTGATTTATGACACTCATCCCAGTTGAAAGTATGTGCACAGGTTCTTATTTCCAGATTATGAGGGAGGGGGTCCCTGTCTTGCTTACAGCTGTATTCCCAGCACCTAGCACAGTGCCTGGCCTATGGCTGGAACTCTCATTTGTGTTGACATGAATGCCCAGTAGCCTTTTGGCTTAACATGTGGTTCTCAAGTGCTCTGTAGAGAATTTAAGTTTCCAGTCAAGTTATCTGTAGTAGGTAGCCTGGTAAAGTGGAAAGACATGGGTTTGGGGTCCAGCAACCTGGGCTTGAGTTCTGGCTATGTCACTAGCATTTATAACCCTGGACAAGTTTAATCTCTCTGGGCTTTAGCTTCCTTATCTGTAAAGTGGGAAAAGTAATAGTACTACTGTCTAGATTGTTGTGAGGATTGATTAAATGAAATAATACATATAAAACTCAGCATGATGTTTGACAGTAAATGTTCAAGAAGAGTTGTTTATTATTATTATTATTATTACTAGTGAGATAACATTTTATATGTGTTGGCTCATCATAACAATGATTTTTATTAAGCTGCCATAGTAATAAGTCTATTGATATTATCATATGAGTAGTTATAATATATTGAAATTTAGTGATTTATAGCATATTCTAAGTTATTATAAACACTTATGCTTGATAAAATATTTCACTCTAGTAACTGATAAAGCTTTCATATTATACCTAATATGCCATTGACCATGAGAAATAAAAAAAGCCACTTAAGTAAAAATTTCCATTAAATATATAGTATTTCATATATATAATATACATGAACTATAGTATATATAACATACAATATAATATGTATATACATACAATACAAATAAAACACACAATAAATATGAAGGTTAAAGGAAAGTGCATTTTTATTTTCCAACTGTATCACAGCAGCATAGTTGAAATTGTTCAAAATATTTTCAGCATTTCTGGCTTGCTAACCAGTAGAATAGCACAGAGCATATACAAAATTAACCATTATTTATAGAATACCTGTTATATATGGAGCACTGTAATAGGTGTACTTTAAGACATAAAAGAGAGGCATAAAACATGATTTCTGTCTTCCAGGATCTTATTACCTATTTGGGGAGAGATGTCTCAATCAAGTGAAACAATTTGTGAATTAAACAAGCTGGTGTTTAACAGCTAACACCAAGGATTGCTTTGAGATTATACATTAGAAATAATCAGCCTTCTTGAAATTTAGCTTTGACAAAACCATGCTGCAGTAGGAATGTGTAGGATTGTATTTTTTTGGCCACAGAAAATGGAATTAGTTATATAAAATGTGATGCCTGGTTTTAAAATACACCACCAGGTGCCCTTCTATGTTGACAGCTCAGCTTTGTTGGTTTGCTCCCTTTCACAGAGGAGCTGGGATGGAACTGGCACCATGTACTTCATAGGATGCGGTTATAACGCTTTTCCTGTCGGGTCCGAGTATGCTGACTTCCCACACATGGATGATAAACAGAAAGACAGAGAAATAAGGAAATTCAGATACATTATACATGCGGAACAGAATGCCTTGACGTTTAGGTATGAAATTCATTTGCATGTCTTTTCTTTAAAATGAAGCAAGGGTTAGTTGAAATTAGTTTTCTTTTAGCTATAATTTAATTCCTTTTTTTTTTTTTTTTAAATTCTAAGACATATTCTTTTCAGAAGTATAATTTCAGATATACTTGGTCTGGGCTGACTGACCTGAGGCCATTGCCAGAGATCCTCCACACCTTCGAATTTACTGAACGAACCTATTTTTTTTTTTTCTTGTCTTCCTTCTGTTTCCAATATAAAACTGCTTGGTGTTTGTCCTTAGGGTCTTCCACATTTCCGTGCTGTAAGATGTCCTTTGTTTTCTAGATCTAGAACAGATAAACTTATGAATATATAAGTTTTATTATGAACCAAATTGCTTTAGCACAGTTTTGGTTAGAGATTATAACAGGCACCACCTCCTTCTGGTGTTCATTTAGAGCATTTCCACAAACACTTCTCAGCCATTACCACTAAGGGAGTGATCTTAGGGGGTTCAAAACTGAGTGAGACATGGCTTTTGTCTTTGAGGAGCTTCTAATGCAGCAGAGGGATAGAAGAGTCCTTTTGAGCTAAGGTGAAAAACGGTTCTCTGGGAAAGGCCAACACAAAATCCTGTAGAAATTCAGGGACTGCTACAGATGAGGGGGAGTGAGAGGGGAAAGCTTTAAGGAGGAGCTGGCATTTGACCTGGGTTCTGAAGGTCTGGTAAGATTGTGGCAGTTGGAGAGGCTTACCTGAAAGGAAGCCATCCTTGCTTCAGTGAAGCAGACCAATGGTCTAGAAGTAGGAAAATGCTTGGTTTGGGAACACGAGTGTTCTAACTGGGCTGGACGGTGGAGCACATGGGAGTGGGTAGGGGCTGGACAAGCGAGGACTTTGAGTTTAAAAGTGGAGAAATGGAAGGGCATTGACAGAGCCACCCTACCCATCACTTAGGTCACAGATAAATCATTGAAATAGACCAGATGCATAACATTCTTTTGCCCTAGTCTAGGCAAATAGAATGAGTCTGAACTGGGGAGATGGGTATGGAGAGCGGATGATTGTGTAAGACAAGAGCAGTGTAAACCACAGAACTGGAAATGCAAACCCTGTAGCCTCAGATGAGAGCACTCCTGGGTCCTAAACTCGCTCATGAAACAGTTTCTCTGTTCTTTTCCTTGTGCTCTTCATTAAGGGTTGGTTTACTTGCTTACTTTGTGTGGAGGTATGAATCTGTCAAAGCCAAACGCTTGTTAAATAAAGTATCCTTTCTCAGGGAGGGGGTAAAGGAACTGTAACTCAAAGTAGAATTCAAATATTAATTTATCAATTAAATAACCAGTTGATACTAGAGAAGGGTTAGATCTTTTGGCTACCATGGTGAGCTAATGTCTAACTGCTCTCAAAGAGGTAAACTCTCAAAGAGGATGTGAGTTCTAGCCCCCGTTCTGGCATCGCAAAGTTCTTATTGGAGAAGGCATTGTTCTTGCTCTCCCTCCCTCCCTCTGTCTTTCAGTGTCTTTTTCTGTTTTTATTTGTAATCTAATAGTGAACATCTCACTAATTGCTTAGAATAATAAATGAATTTTAATTATAATAATTGTCATGTTCAGATCGTATATTAACATTTTATGAGTTTATATATTTTGTATGTTCACTAATTTAGCAAGAATAAAGTTTATTATTGTTTATAATGCTGTAAATCTGTTTTAAAAGCAGCTCAGTTTTAGTAAAGATTTCTCTAAAATGTAATTATCCACGTGGAAGCTGCCTTCCTAATATTTATAAATTTTTTGTAGGTGTCAAGAAATAAAGCCTGAAGAAAGAAGTATGATCTTTGTCACAAAGTGTCCATGTGATGAGTGTGTACCTTTAATTAAAGGTGCAGGCATAAAACAAATCTATGCAGGAGATGTAGATGTTGGAAAAAAGAAAGCAGACATCTCTTACATGAGATTTGGGGAACTTGAGGGTGTTAGCAAATTTACAGTAAGTAGATACACATTTTTTTTTTAAGTGTACTTTCTATTATATTGTTACTTACCCTGCTGAATATTTTAAGTTAGCGATTCTCACACTTCTAAAGCGTTTCACCAAACTGTTATCACGGAGTTTATTTTTATGGGCAACTATTCATCTAATTACAGATGTTCAGCTTAGGATCTCTGTCTTGTGTATTGATATCATCTGTATCCAGTTGTACATTATTGACCTTACAGATCCTGAATTGGTGGACCCTTCAGCGCCATCTGGTGGCTAACAAAATAAAATCCCTCACCTACTTCCCTCACTCTTCTGTTTTGGAGTGGTAAAGAGATGAAAATAGTTTAAGATTACCCAAAAGACAGGGACCGACACAAATACACACACACACACACACACACACACACACACACATGCGTGCGTGCACACGTGAACTATGACACACATTTCTCATGGGAAAAATCAGAAAAGTTAGAAGGGATTTAATATTCGATATTTCAAAAAAAGTACTGAGATAGTTCATGGATAGGATAGAACTTTTAACTATTACTATTTAGGCTTTTAAAAAACTTTTTTTTTTTTTTTGGTTTATTTATTTTTGAGAGAGAGAGAGCAAACAGGGGAAGGTGCAGAGCAAGGTGGGGACAGAAGATCCAAAACAGGCTCCCAGCTGTCAGCAGAGAGCCCAGTGTGGAGCTCAAACTCACAAACCATGAGATCATGACCTGACCTGAAGTCTGACACTCAACTGACTGAGCCACCCAGGTGCCCCTAAAAAACTTTTTAGAAACAATCTCAAACATACAGAAAAGTTACAAAACCACTACAAAGAACTTTTTTATCCAGAAACATTTGAGAGTAACTTGTTGACCTGATAGCCAGATCAGTCTTGGGGCACCTGTGTGGCTCAGTAGGTTAAGTCTCTGACTCTTGGTTTCGGCTCAGGTCATGATCTCATGGTTTGTGGAATCGAGCCCCGGATTGGACTCTGCTTGTAGTGTCGAGCCTGCTTGGGATTCTCTCTCTCTTTCCCTGTCTGCCTTTTTCCTGCTCTCTCTCTCTCTCAAAATAAATAAATAAAACATTAAAAAAAAAAGTCAACTATATGTATACATATACATATATATTTATATTAAAAATTTTGGAACTATAACAACATATTGCCTACGTTCTGTGTGTATATGAAGTATCATAACTGTTTACCCTTTTTATCTTTGTCATTTATTTTTGTTTTTTTATTTCCAGTTTTATTTAAAATTCATCATGATTTTTTTTTAATTTTTTTTAATGTTTTTTATTTATTTCTAGGAGAGAGAGAGACAGTGTGAGCAGGGGAGGGTCAGAGAGAGAGGGAGCCACAGACTCTGAAACAGTCTCCAGGCTCCGAGCTGGCAGTCAGCACAGAGCCCGACGCGGGGCTCGAACCCACGAACTGCGAGATCATGACCTAAGCGAAAGTCGGACGCTTAACTGACTAAGCCACCCAGGCGCCCCCTTTTTTTTTTTTTTAATTTTTTTTTTTTTAAATTCATCATGATTTTTAAAAGAAAAAGGGCCCTAAGAGAAAGGAGAGATGAGCAAGTCACCTCTTTTGTAAAAGTAAACAAAAGCTTACATCCAGCTAGTCAAAGAGAAATCTCCAGTTTTGTGTTTTTGTTTTCTGTCTCTTCATTCCTCCTGAGGAGTGAGAAGAAATAGTTTTTTCACATTCTCTCCATAAAGATGAAATGATCTAGCTCTTCAGGACTGTGACAGATTAAGTGAATTCTGAAATACTTTGCTTACTGGTGAGTTTGAGTAGCTTTCTCACTGTAAAGAGAATGAAGAGGTCAGAAGAATGTAAGATAGGACGAGAGAAGCAGAGGGAGGGGGGAAAACATTTACAGGGCGTGAGGCCCTTCGGCAGAGATGGGCCAAGACCCACAGGCGTACCCTAGTCAGGTGCACATGCTTCTTCTCTGTGCTCCTTCCAGTGACGGTCACCTCTCTCCATCTCCTCCTTTCCCTCATCTGTCCTGGTTTGCAGTAGTATGTAAATGACTTAAACTCCCTGGCTAGATCAATGCCTAGTGGGTTTTTTGTTGTTGTTGTTAATACCAGAAACTAACATGAACTAGTTTTCATTCTAAATCTGAATGTCAGTGATTACGCTTATTTTTAAATTGTCAAGAGTAGTATAGGAGTATCCAAAATTGATTTCTTTAAGATTAAATCAAATTGAAATTAATTTTGTTTGAAAAACTTGCTTTTCTCATTGAGGTATTACCAGATACCTTGAGATGGGTGATTCTGTTCTGTGGGGTTGCTGCAAACTAGGCTAGGGCTGAGCAACAGTATTTTCAAGAATAGATTTTACCAGTGTAGACCCACGTCCATTTATTCAGAAGGTTTTTTTTTTCTATTTAATACATGTACATTTTTCTCTATTACGTCATATTACTTTTTTTTTTAATTTACTTATTATGAAAGCAATATATGCTCGTTTTAGAGGACTAGGGATATAAAAAAGAACAGATATTCTGTTACAGTTCATAGATACTTCTGTTAACATGTTGCTGTATTTTCTGCATTATTAAGAATTCTTCAAAAATAACATTTAATGTTTATACAATATTCCAACTTACAGATATAACTTATTTAACCATCCCTCTGTTGTGAGGCACTTAAATGGCTTCCAAGTTTCTTAAAGTTAGAAATAGTCTTTTTATGATTATTCTTAAATATAAATTCAGGGCTATTAGTTTTTACTTTGCCAAAATTAATAGATTTTAGCAGGTGGACGTGTTTTGAAACATGCCTTTTTTTTTTTTTTAAGTTCATATATAATTTCCTACGCCTTATAAGTCCTCTTTTTCCTGGTGATGATCCCAACCATCCCATTTCTATAGACAACCAACCAGTTCTAGATGTCCTCCCTTTCCAAAGACTTTTTTATACACGGAAAAATGTCTTGTATCTCATTCCCCCTCAAGGATCATGATATTAACTAGTTTGTCTGATGAACTTGTTGGTGCTCACAGAAGAAAACCAGGTCCTGCACACTGAATTGTGCCTTTCTAGAGGTAGTGTCCTAATGAGGCCATTTGGGTGAAGTCATTAGTAATTCTGATGATGCGGATTTCTAGCCAAGTGAGAAGGGAAGGGCTGTGCCATGAGGTTCTGGTTACACTCAGTTTTTCTTCTCAGCTGCTCCAGGCATCTCAGTGCTATCTGAGAACCATCAGGCTTCCCTGTTTCTTTCTGTAATCAGAGGAGATATGATATATGGTATGATATAACTTTATTAAAAGGCAAGATTATCTTGTTCATATTTCCCTCTTTATATCTAAGCCTTCTCTAGCTATCACAAGATGCTGTAGGACGTGGAGATGGAATATGATGTGGTGGAAACTCTAAAGTGTTGGGCATGGACAGACTCAGGTTCTAATTCTGCTGGTGCCCTTAGCTAGTCAGCAAGTTACTACAGTTCTCTGATCTTCTACTTCTTTACCTTTAAAATGGAGGTAAAGGGGGGCACCTGGTGGCTTAGTCGGTTAGGCATCCGACTTTCGCTTAGGTCATGATCTTGCGGTTCGTGGGTTCGAGCCCCACGTCGGGCTCTGTGCTGACTGCCAGCTCAGAGCCTGGAGCCTGTTTCAGAGTCTGTGACTCCCTCTCTCTCTGACCCTCCCCTGCTCAAGCTGTCTCTCTCTCTCTCTCTCTCCTAGAAATAAATAAAACATTAAAAAAAATAAAACAGAGGTAAAGGATCTTTAAAGTTCCTTCCTTCCCTAAGAATATTGACTCTGATCCTGGAAGTCATATCATTCAGGGTCATTTAGGGTCATTATAGGGCCTGGTTGGTATGAACATGCTAACTCTTTTATGTTTTTAAAAATGTTTTGATATTGACAACAGGGTGCTGAAATGCTATTTATTAAATCCTTCTTAAACATATAAATAAAAGGCTTGTGCCCTTTTACAGTGGCAGCTGAATCCAGCAAGAACTTGTGTGGGTGAACAAAATGAGCCTGAAAGTAGAGAGAGTAAGTATTTAAAAGTCTTTTATTAAGCTTAACTTTGTTGCTAAGAAGAAAGAATACATAGTGAGTTTTCATGATCAGGTGTTGGAAATTGTGGTTGTAGCTAGAGCATATTCTTTCTGCAGGTTAGATTTTTGCCATTCAGTTTGTTTACAAACATTTGTGTATCTACTATATGCTAGGTTCAATGGAAAGTGCTGGTTTATAATCAGTCTTATAGAATCTTCAGTTCAATACAGATAATTATGCACAAATTGAATATATAAATTAAATTTATATGCAAGAGTAAACAACAATGCTCTCCTATACCAAACAAAAGCTTGTTGGACAGTTAGAAAGGAAAAGTATGTATAATTAATACAGATGGCTCTAAGGCCAAATTAGAGGCTGTAGACTTTTTTATTGGAGTAAAAGCACCTTTGCAGAGATTGGTCAGAGAAAGGAAATACTCTGGTTATTTGAATAGTGTGACTAATGTCATCTCAGCTACCATAAATGAATTACTTACTAGTCTTCAAAGCTTTATTATATGCATATTAACACAGGTATTTTTAATGTAATATCATCTTTGGGAGATCTTGTAATTCCTGAGCCTCATAATTTTGAGCATTAGTTATTGCTATACAATACTGTCTTTAAATATTAGCAATGTTATCTGTTTGGATTCTAGGTAAATCAAAGTTTATTATAGTAAGTAAAATTTTTTGATAACAATGATTTAATTACCCTGAAAATTAGGAAATATAAAGGTCTTTATGAAAAGAATTCCTATTCTATAGTTTCTGTGCAAATATCTTGATTTTCTGTGTTCTGAATTAGCTTTACTTATTCAAGTAGTATATTTTTTATTTGCAGTCTGGGGGAAAAATACCTATTCACTGCATCTTTAAAAAAAAATCAGGAAAAAAAGAAAAAATGCAAAGAAAAATATATGTGGATCTGATTAAAGAATGTGTATTCAATAACAGTGTTTGAGGGGACCAATTAATAATTCCCTGTTGTTAGGGAAAGGACACAATTGGCACTAACCATAAAAAGATGAATTAATTTATCTATGTTAAAATTAAGAACATCTGTTCATCAAAAGATGTCATTTAAAGAGTACAAAGGCAAGCCACAGAATAGGAGATATTTGCCACTTACCATCAATAAAGGGCTTGTATCTAGGATGTATTCTTCCTGAATCACCAAGGAAAGGAAGACATGCTGCGGTGAGCAGTCCTGAGATTGGAAGGTGAGGTTACGATGGGAAGGGACAAGAGGAGGGCTTCGTCTTTGTTGGCAGTGTTTTATTTACTTACCTGGGGGATGGTCACATGTCTGTTTGCTTTATGACTGCTCACTGAACTGCACGTTCATGTTTTATATATATTTTTGAACAAGTGCCTGATAGCAACAAATGATATTCCTGTCTCTTTTTCAATTTTGCAACAGCTCTATTGAGGTAGAATTTATATATCATAAATCTGCCCTTTGAAAGCATACATTTCAGAGTTGAGTGAATCCGCTCTTCAATAGGGCAGATCCTGAATTACTGGAGTAAGTTTTCTGGAGTCTGTCTGTTTTTTAACAGTTGAGAATTTTAAGATCAAATGAATGTCCCTTTTTAATTTAATCATTATTTTGATCTGACAACCTATATGACTTTAACAAATACCCATGTATTTGAAGTGAAACTTTCCTGATGTTAAGTTATTCTTGAACATTAGACGGTGTGTTGAGGCCCATACCTCCCGGGGAAGAGCAGCACCAGCACAAAAAGCTGTGTCTCGGAAACCGCCAAGAAGTCCTGTCTAAACTGGAATGAGGCCTCAAGAATTTTCATTGCACTTTTAAAATTCTGTCTTGTTAACTGAGAGAGTAAGGATGGATTTTGTGAGTAACTGAAGAAGAAATTTAAGGACGCTAGTTTATTGCTACTGAATGAATGATGTCAATGAGAATATTTTTATTTTAGATTTGTGTGTTTTCCAGAATATAGTGATGTGGTCTTTTATTACATTAAATGAGGTAGCAATAATTTAATGAGCCCCATTTAATCACCTGTTGAGGTTAATTTCTCCTTGTCTTAGCTTTATATTAGCTAGGGTTTGTTTTTTTTTTTAAAGGGGCTGGTTCACTCTAGTCATATCTCAGCAGAGAATTTTATACCTTTTAAAAAATATGAATTCCTTTGGATTATGAAGGTGATAATTAGTAAACTGCTCTGGGGAAATAAATGATGACCTGGCCATTTTTAAGCCAATGTATGGCTCACCAAAAGTTCACATTTATACCTAAAGCTTTTTAAGAATCATAATTTAATTAGGATTAAATCAAAAAATGAAGTTGATATACCTGGTCCCCATTGTAAAAGTATATTTCTAACAAAATTCTTAATTAAAAAAAAAAAAACACCTTCCAGTATATAGAAATCACAATGATTTGTTAGACTAGAGTGTTAAATCACTGGTTTGGGGTAGCAGTAGGAAGAAAATATTATTCTGAGGCAGTATTAATTACTCTTTGATAAGCACTGATTCTTGAAATCATTCACACTGCCAACTTTGGTCATAATGTTAACAGTGAAGAAATATTTTAGTCTGGAATATTGAAACTATCCTTTTTTCGAATTCCATTCATAAATGCTGCCCACTTTTCTCTCCATGTTAACAGAGTGTCTCATGGCTCTCAATGGAAGGTTTAAAAATATATATATATTTGCAAACTTTAATACCAGGAATCTTGAAAGTAAAATTATGGCCAGTCAGTTCAGGTTGCATTCCAAATTGCTCTTTGTGAAACCTCTCACTTTTATTTGCTGAGAAACTTTCAGGAAATTAGTCCAAAGATGAAGGTACGTGTTTTGCACTTTCCTAGAGTTAGGGAGGGAGCGCGTAGCCCACGGCCCACGGGCCTGCATGTGACATCATGAGGAGCACCTGCCTTGGCTGTGCGGAGATAATCAGGTTTGCCTCTGCGGTCATCGCCTTCCCTTCCACAGCACCACTTGGCCTCATGAGGCCTCCTAACTGAGTCTCTCAGAACCTACACAGGACAATCCAAATGTTGACCGATGCCCCTATTTGTACAGCAGCCCACTTCGGTGCACTGGGAGTTCAAAGTCATCATACCAGCCAGTTGAGAAATGCCTTAAATATTGAGAGAGGGGAGGAAAGATATACTTAGAGGGAACTAAGGCTAATTTGAAAACCAGTAGGATAAAATATAAAACATTTATCAATGTGAAAATACTGAGATTTGCTTACTTCAGTATATTAATTACATATTAATTATACATGCTTAAATTCATGTTAGAATTTTTCTTTTACTAATATGTCATCCACACTTAATATTTTATAAATCAGTCAGCAGATATTTTATAAGACCCAAAAGCCTGGTATACTGCCAGGTTTATGGATGGATGTGCTGGACATTGAGGGGATATCAGAAGGGAGAAGCATAAAATGTGAAAAACTCGGCTTATTAGGAAATAGAAAATTGATATTTCCAAGCACTATTAAAATATTCATAATAATGCCATATTTCCTTCTTTACAACTGGTCAGTTTTCAACATTTATTGAGAATTTACTATGTAGTGCCAGAAGGAAAGCTCTGTGAGGTCAGGGATATATATATCTATGAATTTATATGTATATATATATATGAATATATGGATTGCTATATTTATATATATAAATATATAAATGTTTTAAACTGATGAATCCAGTGCCTGCAATAGTGCCTGGCACATAATAGGCATTCAGTAAGTATTTGTTGATTGACTGACTGAGTACAGGACACAGGCTAGACCCTGGAAATGAGATGTGTAAGAAGTGCTCCCTCATCTCAAAAAGCTCGCAGTCTAGTGGAAGACAGAAGCACGACAGAACGATTCTCAGAGTGGAGTCCGTGGACAAGCTGCTTTAGCACCTCCTGAGGACTTGCTAGAAATGCAAATTATTAGGGTCCCACTGGACCTGTTGAATCAAAAACTGGATGTGACGGCTTGCAGTCTGTTTTCACAGCTCTCCTGATGACCTTGGGGGTTGAGAACCACCCTGTGAATGTAACTGTAGAAAGCTTCTAATATATATATAATTAAAACTACTAGAAACAATAAAAAACAACTCTGTATTGCAAGGAAACTAGGATGTGTTTTTGGCTAAGAAAAGGTGTGAGGTATGGAGATGTATGTTTGTTAAGAGAAAAGAAGGTAAATTTTGTCCTTAAGTAAAGCTGGTTCTTTCAGAATGGAAAAGAGAAAGAGAAAGGACAAACTAAGGACATAGAAATGTATGAAAAGAAAAAAGAGAAAGAAAGGAAAGGAAAGAAGGAAGGGAGAGAAAGATGGAGGGAGGGAGGAAGGAAAGTAGGGAGAGAATTAGTTTTCTAGTCACATTGGCTAAAAATTGAATTGTTATTAGGATTTTTAAAAATAATAAGCTTGCTTTTTGTTTTAATAGCTTGCTTATATAATTTTCTTTCATTTGCTGAAAGGGCAAAATTTACTTGGACTATTGGTCTGCTCTTGATAAGATATTATGAATGGTTTTCTTTACCTTTTAAGTAATCTGCCTGAAAAGCAAAGATGTTATGTTTTACTAAAATAATTTCCTGTGCTTCATGTTGTCTTTATCAGATCTTTGATTACTTTACTGAGTCTTAACACTAAGAGCTGAATTTCACTTAAAATAATGTAATCTTCTGTATTTGACTTTAAAATCTTTTGTCACTTTGGTTAAATAGATAATTAAGTATTGCCAGTGATCTTATTTAGTCGTGTCCAAACCTTTTGATACTTTTTACAAACGTTCCATTATCAGTTTTTAAATACAGTTTTTTGACCTGGAAAAATAAGTTGGAGTTTTACAGAGGGCCCCTGGAACATCTCAAAAGATTTATTTTCTCTCATTATAAAAGGGAGATGCTAAATGAATTGGTTTATATGATATGCTAAATTACATGGGAAGCATTGTTAAATAAGAAATGTTAAGTTTTCTTTACATTACATCTGTATAAGTATCTGTTTTAAGTGTTGCAGAAATTATATGAAATTCCTAGAAATCAGATGTCCCAGGATTATGTTATCACTGTAATTCTAGTTATTATCTTAAAATGTTGTATATCCCAGATAGAATCAGATTTTCTTGCCAATTGCATTGTAATGAACTCTATCAGATCTTTAAGCATGGCCATTTTTAAGTCCTTTATCTATCATTTGCAGACAGTTATTGTTTTATTTTGATATTTTATAAAAGTTTTCCTGCAAAAGTGCTTCATTTTCAAGGAGATTAATGAATGGACTCTAACAAGTACTGTGGAATACAAGTTTCTGATACCTTTAAGGTCATCCAACTGAATTGGGTAAGAATTTACAGAACTACAGAAAAACTGGATTCATACAGAACAAATATTAATTACATGGGGGTTAAATGAACATGGGAGTGAATGAACTGAGGATGATGATCATAATTTTTTATAACTTTTTGGTTTGAAACATTGCTGGTTTCTTTTAATATTTGTTTTTTCCAGATTTAAGAAAACCTTTTTCTCTTTTAAATTATCTATGATTTATGGCTGTTTGTTAAAGTATTCCTTTAGAAGCAGAATTGAAACAATTACTTTTTTTCCCTACCTTACATCTGCAGAATTTAACAACTATTTAACAACTATTAGTGAGTATTCTTATTTTCTTTTTTTTTTTTAATTTTTTTTTTAATGTTTTATTTATTTCTAGGAGAGAGAGAGACAGTGTGAGCAGGGGAGGGTCAGAGAGAGAGGGAGTCACAGACTGAAACAGGCTCCAGGCTCTGAGCTGGCAGTCAGCACAGAGCCCGACGCGGGGCCCGAACCCACGAACTGCGAGATCATGACCTAAGCGAAAGTCGGACGCTTAACCGACTAAGCCACCCAGGCGCCCCGAGTATTCTTATTTTCATGGCAGTACAGTTATTTGAGTAAGCTCAATAAGAATCTGTTCTTATAATGAGCATAAGTGGAAACATTGGTTATATTACTGAGGCTTTGACTGGAATGTCGTATCTGAGAGATCTACATAGACTCAGATATGACCAGACAGCTTTAAGAAACTAAGGTTGACTTTATGGAGCCAATAAACAATAGAGCCCCTTGGAAAAGTTGGCCTGGTATCTTGCTTATAGGGTTCCCAGCAACCTTACTAGGTGAGTAAGGAAGGTCACTTCCTGGCAGGCTCAGGAACCTCAGAATATTTGGGGGACCTTGAGAAGAGAGGAATTAACACAGATTTGTAGGTATTGCAGGCAAAGTCTGATAGTAAGTCCTTGGCTTGGCTTCCTAGCTCAAGAGGCTTTTAAGAATTCAATCTGAAATTCCTTATGAAAAATTCCAGCAAAGCAGGTTTAGAAGAAGCCTACATGATCAATTGTTATTCTTGCTACACTCGTGTAAATAGGCCAAATGTATTGAAACTAGATTTAATTTGCAAACAAATTAGTCTTCCTGTAATTATTTTGATAGACAGAAAAACTATGTTTCAGTAACACACCTTTATAAATACCAGATTCGAGGGGCGCCTGGCTCAGTTGGTTAAGTGTCCCTCTCTTAATTTCGGCTCGGGTCATGATCTCACAATTTCATGAATTTGAGCCCCACATCAGATTCTGCACCGGCAGTGCAGAGCCTACTTGAGATTCTGTCTACCTTGCTCTCTGCCCCTTCCTCACATACTCTATCTCTGTCTCTTTCAAAGTAAACAAATAAACTTAAAAAGACACACTTTATAAATATCAGGTTCTAGTGCTATTAATTAGCTTTCAGGTTTTGTTTTCAACCTGTAAAGTCACTGGATCCTGAATTCTAGTTTCCCCCGATGTTTGGCTCTCCAGCTTCACCATTCCATTTTTTCCCAGTTTAGACTTGGAATCACTAAGTACAAAACTACCCTTTTCCTCAAAGCCCTGTAAACTGAATGTGAATGACTTGGTATAAAGTTCAGAGAAATGGCCACAATAATTCGTGTTTAGACAATCTTCATGGCTGCTGCTGTATGCGCCACTCAAAAAGTTTACCTAAACACCTGATGATGTTATCAGAGATATTCAAACCACAAAAGATGGTTTGACCCTGACATCTAGAAATTTTCTTGACTGGCTGCCCCTGGGCTTAGAATCTGGTTTAAAATTTGTTCTAATCATCAACCTTTGCTTTTCTTTTGTTTTCACAGAAATGCCTTAATAAATACTTGATTTCTCACACCTTATAGGCCTGATTGTGGGAGCCCAGTTATATAAATTACCACCTCCCAAAATGAGACACAATTATTTAACTGAACTAAGCTATTCTCAAGACTAAGAGATTAATTCAATGCAATAGTAAAATAATCTACCAACTCAGCTTCTGGATTATGAAGCTTTTTGCAGTTTCAAAGGTGAGACTGAAGGGAAGTAAAATATGCCACTTTGGCATATGGATTATGTTGAATTAAAATTATTTAAGAAATAGCCATTGCAAGAAGGATACTCTGTCCCCCGAAAGCAGGAAATAAACTCCCATGTGAAGGGCACCCTCTTGGCACCTGGTGGGTAAAAGCGTCCTCATCACCGGGGGTAGGGGATTCAGGGCTGAGAAGCCTATAGAAACAACTTTGTTACTTTTTCAATTTGCTACCCCAAACCCAAACTCCTTCGTCAGTTCTTCACAAATAATTGTTTCTGTGTTTATAAAAGATATAAAGGCTGCCTTCTTGGTCACTTCTTTGAGTCTCATATTTCTGTGGCTTGCATATATATGGAATTAAATTTATTTATTTTTCTCCTGTTAAGTTGTCTTATGTCAATTTAATTTTTAGGGCAGCTAAAGTATCTAGAAAGGAAGGGAAAATTTTTCTTTCCTTATACATCTTTTCTACATTTGCTTTCAAGGGCACATGCTAGGTTCTTTTTTTTTTTTTTTCCTAATTTTTTTTAAATGTTTATTTTTGACAGAGAAAGAGCATGAGTTGGGGAGGGGCAGAGAGAGGGAGACACAGAATCTCAAGCAGGCTCCAGGCTCTGAGCTGGCAGCACAGAGCCCGATGCAGGGCTTGAACCCATAAACTGTGAGATCATGACCTGAGGAAAGCTGACCGCTTAACCAACTGAGCCACCCAGGCACTCATCATACTGGGTTCTTGAAAGAACCTTCATGCTTTCTGCCAGACCAGCCCTGTTTCAGAGGCCCTGTTCTGGTTTCTCTCAACCAGAGAGCTTCTCAGGACCATTACCAAGACAGCTCTGATTATGCCTTCTTCTAAGAGAGACTTACAGCCAACCTATTTCATTTAGTCTATTACCTTTTGTCAAATTTCTTCATTCTCCTTAGCCTTTGATACCTTTCCTTTTGGGAAAATACAGTTAGCCACTATAACCTGGGCGACCCTGTTCTGGTTAGCAGAGGAGGCTTTATTGGGCCAGAATTTTTGTGGGTTTTCTAACTTCTCTGTAGCTGAGCAGACTAGTCTTCCAGTTATGTTGTGGCTTGTTGTGCTGACACAGGGAAGGAAGTGTCCTAACGGGTTGTGGATGGCTCCCTCAGCCACCCTAAGAAGGGATTCTTAGTTACAGCTGAGGCCACGTTTATAACTTATTGAGTCTGGAACTTAGGTACTTGTTATTTCAGGTCAATGTGTAGATGTATTGCTACCATTTTTTCAACTCCTGAGCACTTACATGCTAAACACTCTCCACTCCAAACGGAAACAATGTAATTTGCTTTGGACATTTTTTTTAAAACAGAAGAAATTAAGTTTTCAGTGTCAAAAATAATAAAATTGTATTTTGAGGAGTTAAGAAATGTGTCCAGTAGCAGACTGAATGCATAATGTTTTTTTCCAGAGTTGACAGTATATCTTTACCTCCAAGCCCAAGTTTTAAAGCTGTTTTTCAGAATCCTAACTGAATGATGTTCCAGAAAACCTTTTGTTGATATTTTAGAGCAGTTTACTAGCTTTGCTATATTTTTGTCTTTTATTTTTACCATACCAGAAAATCAGCGTAGGTGAAGGTTCTTTCAACCTCGGCATGATTGGCAGTTTGAGCCTGATGACCCTTTGCTGTGCTGTCCTCTGCATTGTAGCTGCATCCCTGGTCTCCACCCACTAGATGTCAGTAGCAACCTCTCATCCAGAAGACAACCAAAAATGTTCCTTGGGGGGCAAAGTCACCCCCCCCCCCAGCTGAAAGCCACTGACATAAACCATCAAGAGAGTGTAAGTGTGTATTTTACGATACATGCCTTACTGTATCAGATGTAAGGGCCATTTTGTCTAGTATAACCATGACACCTAAGGCCTTTTCTGTGGCTAGGTCCCCAGATTTGAAGATGACAAATCCCACTGATTCTTTTTCATTTCTTTTAAAGAACTTAGGTTTAGGGTGGGTAAGTCAAAAGCAGTTTGAAATCTCACATCTCCAATTTTAATTTAGGGGCAAAAAGGTTATAACCTGTAGCTTTGCTTGGTTCTGTTTGTTCGTTTTTCAGATTACTGTACATAGGAATCAGCCACTGTTTTGTAAATACCCTCAACCTGCAATAATTTTTTCCACCTGTTTCCAAAAGGTAATGGAAGTCCAGAGTTAACACCTAGCTGGGGTATACATCAATCAATCGAAAGTTTACTTGGGTGAGGTTTGGTCATAGCTGAACACAACGCAGAGCCAACCTGATTTGCTTCTCTTAGGCACATAGAATTGAGTCTATTACATTTGCCTCCCAGCACAGAATAGTGACATACCTCTTCCATGACCTGAGTTGTCATACATGCTATGATTCATTTTGCAATGATAGAGCCCACTGTTGGGCATGATCAAACTTTCTCTTATAAGGATAGGCCTATCCTTTCTTGTATCAGCATTTGTCATGTATCTTAAAGTTATTGATTTTTTTAAATTCCTTTTTTCTTTTAAGTAGGCTCCACACCCAATGTGGGCCTTGAACTCATGACCCTGGGATCAAGAGTTGCATGCTCTACCGACTGAGCCAGCCAGGTGCCCCTAGACTCAATGATATTTTTAATACAATTACTGTTGACCATTAAAAATCCAATGGATCTACTTAATACAAAAAGTACAGAACTTTTCTTTCATTTAGGCTGATTTTTGAAAATCCTGTCCCCAAGTAAAACAAACATCATTAGTGAGTACTAGTTGAAAATGAGGCCCATTTAAAATGGAACACCCTACATTATTAAAGTATGTAGAAGTTGGTCCATAAATATATCTATGTGTTCAATGAACTGCATTTAAATAGACTCAGATTTGAAAGGAAACTCAGATTTCATCTCTTGTAGCACACTCTCTACAAATCTGGAAACAGGAGTCTGGAAGGTGAAATGATTTCTTAAATACAGTTCAGAATATTGCAAGGGCCTAATCAATAAATGTCAGGATGTCCCCCCCAATTTTGAGTTTTGTTTCTAATGTAAGCTCACATTGGACATGTTGGCTGATTTTAACATGTATGTTACAGTAATAAATTCAAGAACTTCCATTATTGTCATTTAGTTTACACAGTTTAAATGATAGCACTTACTTCCAATTGATAGCCTCCCCTATCACCCTTCCCCAGAGGCACCCAGGCTTAGCTATTTTAGCTGATGCTTTTATCTTTTTTTTTTAATGTTTTATTTATTTCTAGGAGAGAGAGAGACAGCGTGAGTAGGGGAGGGTCAGAGAGAGAGGGAGTCACAGACTGAAACAGGCTCCAGGCTCTGAGCTGGCAGTCAGCACAGAGCCGACTCGGGGCTCGAACCCACGAATCGTGAGATCATGACCTAAGCGAAAGTCGGACGCTTAACCGACTAAGCCACCCAGGTGCCCCTGATGCTTTTATCTTTACCTCCAAATGTCCCAGTAACATACCTCTGTTGTCCCTTGCTAGTTTTTGGGTTTTAGACATTTTCTTTTTTTATTTTAATGTTTATTTTTGAGAGAGAGAGACAGAGAGAGCAAGGGAGAAGCAGAGAGAGGAAGATAGAGGACCTGAAGCCGGCTCCTCACTGACAGCAGAGAGCCCGAAACGGAGCTCAAACTCATGAACCATGAGATCACAACCTGAGCCAAAGTCAGATGCTTAACCAACTGGGCCACCCACACTCCCCTTAGGCATTGTCTTTTGAATTTCCATCATGGAAGAGCTTTCTTTCACCTCACTCCACTCTCCACATACTTCCTCTCTCCATGCTCCACACTGTTACATTTTTGTTTTGGTTGCATCAATATTCACTGTTTGTCATTATGAGTCTGTAAATGCTGATCATAGCTCATCATGTTGTGTGCTAGCATGCCTTTTCCTTTCCTTACTGAATTTATTTTACTGAATTTAAAAATTGCCTTTTATTTTGGCTTGGTTTTCTATTTTATTACTAATCTATAGACAAACTTGTCTCCCAATTGTGTAACCTTCTCTCAGTACAGTCAAGAATATTGGGTATACTAACTATAATACTATCTTTCTTCTTTTTTAAGAAATCCCTCCTGTAGCCTTTGATCCACCTCCAGTCTGGATGGATTGCTTGCTAGACATGCCACACAGGTGTCTTTTGGGGCCCATCCTTCACAATGTCCTGGGAATCCCCTGTTTCCAGGGACCCATGTCTTTCTCTATTTGGTAAGGCATATTTTTCAGAAGATTCCTGAGAAAAGGTACAGGGTAGCAGGATGACTGTCAGATAAGACTTTTGATGCAGAGCAGCTTTGATACCATGAGTATCTGCTAATGTCTTCATTCCTCATATTGAATTGATAGTTTGGTTAGATATAGAATTGTATGTAGATTAGGAATCATTGTCCCTCAGAAATTGGAAAGCATTGTTTCATGATTCTTATTACACTACTAGAGTGAGTTTCAAGGGTTGGGTTGAAACCCTAATAAACTGGGGTTCTTCAATACTAGATATTCTGGAACAGAGCACATGGCTTCATGCAGAACAACAGCCTTCAGGGCCTCACCTTCATAGGCACACCTCCCAAAATGTTGCAGTTGATTCCTCCATTCTCTTTGTCCTGTATGTTTATATTTAAAATAAAACAAAAATCCTTTATTTTCTTTTTTTAAATGTTTTTAGTGTTTATTATTTTTGAGAGAGAGAGAGAAAGAGACAGTGTGAGTGAGGGAGGGGTAGAGAGAAGGAGACACAGGATCTGAAGCTGGCTCCAGTCTCTGAGCTGTCCACACAGACCCCAACATGGGGCTTGAACCCATGGGCCATGAGATCATGACTGGAGCCGAAGTCAGAGGCTCAACCCACTGAGCCACCCAGGCACCCCCCTTTACTTTCTTTTTAATGATTTGGGGGAAGAAAAATAGAGGTAAATGAATATGTTCACATCTCCGTTTTTGCATTTTCTGTAATGTTTTGGCTTTAAGCATCAAATTCCCACTGTCATTTAAAACATTTTCATGAATATATTTTGTACAAATAGCCACCCCATAATACCATTATACATCTTTTCCTTGGAGATAACCTCCAAGGAAGATATGGTGTTAGAGCAGTACGTGTTCTTCCACCAAGGACTTTTTTTTAAAGACTTGATGGAGATAAGGAGTACCTGAGAAGGATCTTCTCAAAGCAACCTTTGGGAGGATAAAGAGTCATATCTTGTACACCATCACTGTAGCATCTGGATGTGTTTGCATTTGCTATTTCTGATTTCTTTTTTTTTTTTTTTTTTTTTTTTTTTTTTTTTTTTTTTTTTTGATTTTTTTTTTTTTTTTTTTTTTTTTTTGGTTCTGGTGTTCACCTCTGACCTGTGCTGGAATTGGTCCACTAGGTGGCTTCAGGCTCCAGTTCAGTGCAGACCCTGGCTCACCCACCCTGTACCTCCCACCCATCCACCCTGGATACTCCCTGATGAGCTTCCCCTGGAGCCTGAGCATTTACTTTATGATCATGTTTGATAACAATTCAGTCTACAAAATTAAAAAAAAATTATGAGGGGCACCTGGGTGGCTCAGTCAGTTAAACTGACCGGCTCAGGTCATGATGTCACTGTTTGAGTTTGAGCCCCACATCAGGCTCTCTGCTATCAGTGCAGAACCCACTTCTGATCCTCTGTGTCCTTCTGTCTCTGCCCCTCCCCCACTCACTCACTCTCAAAAATAAACATTAAAAAAAAGAGAATTTTTTTTTTATGATATCTGTCTCATTGCTAACACCCACACCTAAAGGTGCTCAGCCTGAGATGTATCCGCAGGGCCTGAGGTGGAGCAAGGAGGCTGTTTGCCTGTAGAGAACATGGCTCTTCCTAATGAGTGGGGGTGGGGGTGGGGTCTGAGCATCATGAAGTACCTTGAACGGTCTGATGTGCCTGTTTCCAGAGTTCCAAAAAAAAGGAAGCAAGAGTCAATCCAGAAGATGTAAAGGTATTATGGGTGCTTGATGCCGTTTAAATCTCAAGAACGTTAAGTCCATGAGCAGTGACGCCCCTGTGTAGCATACCACACCTCTGGCCAACTTGGTTTCACCCGTGTTGATAACCAGTGGTAGTTCTCCTGGCTCTTTATGATCCCACGACTCATCATCCCACTGACTGATATTTCTGAGAGCTTACTGTGTGCCTGGCACTCTGGTGAGCAAACCCAGAGACACAGCCTGCCCTCGTGCAGCTTACAGTTCCTCCGGGAGACAGACATAAACCCATGAAGATAAATGGAAGAGAGATACATCGAGAAGAACTAGTCTCCTGACAAAAATAGGCACACATGACTCCAGTTCTCCACTTCACCCAGATGTCTGATATTACGCTTCTTGGGGCACTATCAGCTGACCTCAGTGGATCCAGAAGATTGTATTGTTTAGGTTCTTGAAAAATACTCCATGCTTAACCAAGAAATAGTTTGGAAAGCTTCCAGAAGGACAGGAGAAAAATGATGTTAAAAATGCAAATGACTATACTCTCAGATGCAAGTGTTTCTGTTGACAAATTTTGCCATACCTGGTTCATTCTGACACTGAAGTAGGCTTATTCAAGGACACTGTTTCTGCTGAAATTACACACTTTAGTGTCATCTAGTGGAGAACTCATATGCTTGTTAGGGTATTAGGTGCAAAGTGTTTTATTTTACAAAAAAAGCAAAAGTTGGGGCACCTGGGTGGCTCAGTTGGTTAAGCATCTGGCTCTTGATTTTGGCTCAGGTCATTATCTCCTGGTTTGTGAGCTCGAGCTCCATGTCAGGCCTGGAGCTGCCTTAAGATTCTCCCTCTCCCTCTCCCCCTCCCTTGCTTGCTCACTTTCTCTCTCTGTCAAAAAAATTAAACATGCTGAGGAAAGTCACCATTCAGACTACTATAATGAAGCCCAAAATCTTCCCTAATTAACAGATATGTATTATAGGATGAATGCAGGGCAGGGAGGCTCTACCTTTCTCAACTAAAGTAGCTACCAATGTGCCAGACAAACCTCAGTTCTTCCTGCCTATTGGATTCATGGGCATGGGCCAGAATCAGATGCCATCAGGGCCTCCGAAGACTATTCATCCCGGAACTCCTCTTACAAAGTTGTGAGCGGCCCAGTAAAGGTTTGACACCTGCAGGCAGGGTAAGATGCCCCTTCGGCCACAATCGTCCTCAGGCCACAACCGGCCCTGCCTTTAGGTGGTACAGGTTCTGAATAAGCTGAGGTGAGGGGAAGGTGACACCAAATGCAGGGTCAGACCATTCTTTAAAAATTCCTCAATGGGGGGTGCCTGGGTGGCACAGTCGGTTAAGCATCCGACTTTCGCTTAGGTTATGATCTCGTGATTCATGGGTTTGAGCCCCGCGTCAGGCTCTGTGCTGACTGCCAGCTCAGAGCCTGGAGCCTGTTTCAGTCCGTGACTCCCTCTCTCTCTGACCCTCCCCTGCTCACGCTGTCTCTCTCTCTCTCTCTCCTAGAAATAAATAAAAATATTTTTTAAAAAATAATAAAAAATAAATAAAAATGCCTCAATGGGGCATCTGGGTGGCTCAGTCAGTTAAGCATCTGACTCTTGGTTTTGACTCCGGTCATGATCTTGAGGTTCATGAGTCAAGTCCTGCATCGGAGCTGCACTGTCAGTCCAGAGCCTGCTTGAGATTTTCTCTCTCTCTGTCTCCCTCTCTCTCTCTCTTCCTCTCTCTCTCCTTGCCCCTCTGCTGCTTGTGCTGTCTCTCTGTCTCTCAAAAATCAATGAACTTAAAATAATTAAAAAATAAATAAAATTAAAATGCCTCAGTGACAGAAGCATCATTAACAGCAGAAGCAAATATTTACTGAATCTACTGCTTTGATCCAAGCCCCCAAATTGAGAAATGTGAACACTGGGAAAGAAAAGAAGGTTCTAGTTCAAACTGCCTAGACATTTTTTTTAAAGAAAACAGACATCTCCAAAGAGACTTTGATGTTTTAAGTGACAAGCAAAATCATAGTAAATTAAATGTGTAGTGTTTATTTCAGCTAGCATGTCTCCAAGCAAGGAGGTTGGCTCTCTTTACATGCTAGAATAATCAATGATTTATGTGCCTGACAATCCATTCATAATCCCTTACACAAGCATGTGCATTTATGACTGTTTTAGAAAATTTTGAGGACGATTTTACTATTTAAAGGGATTATAAGTGTTTTTGCCATTATGACTGTGCTTGTTTAACCATATCTAAAATTCTTCTGAAGTCAAATACCTTTTCAGTTAGAGCAGTGAGGCATTGTGGCAAAATAGGTTAGGGGGCTTGCTGGTTGCATTCGCTAAAAGTGAGACATGCATTTATTTGGACCCTCAAGATTAGAACGCAGAATCACCTCATCCAGTGATTATCAACATGGGCACTGATGGTATGTTGAGTGTGATCATTTTCCCATTTTAGGACTGTCTTGAGCATTGTCAGGAGATTTAGTACTCCTGACCTACCTGCTCCAAATGCCACTTGAATCATCTAGAAATTTGGACAACAAATGCCCGCGAGGGGTGTGTGTCATGGGGAACTGCCCTTGGGTGAGAACCACTGGTCAATCCAGTGACCCATGAATGGGCTGCATGCCCCCTTCCACTGTCCTCTAAAGAAGCTCCGCTCCCACATGCCTACACCCTCAGTGATGAAGAAACCACCACCTCCTAAAGCCACATTTGAACTCTACTCATTGCTAAAATGTTATTTTTTATGACATAACTCTCCCATCCCCCCATTTCCATCATTAGCCCTTGGTCTTTAACACAGACCTCTTTGTGTCTCACCCCCTTCCACATGACTGCCCTTCAGTCTTTGAAAGTAGCCATTGTGTTCCTACTGTCCCATGACAACCTCCCACCTCTCCTGGAAACTTACTGTGTCATTGTACACAGTTTTGTACTTCATGGCAAAGCACTTTTTATATTACCTCATTTAATTTTCACACCATGACTTAGGGGTGATCATTTCCTCTTCACAGGGAATGAAATGAAGTTTCAAATCCAATGACTGACCCAAGGCTGCACTGCTGGTCATTGGTAGAGCCAGAACATGAATCTAGTTCTTCTGCAAATTCAGTGCCTGTCACACTTTTCCCAGTTTTCACTGAATTTTGTCCAGTCTCTCCCTTTCCAATGCCTTCTTTCCATCTCCAGCTGTGCTTGTCTCCCATGGTAGAAGGCATGATGGCCCCAATTTTTTACCCTTTTTTATATTCACATCTTTTACCATATTGCTTTGATTTCCTCCAGCAACAGGTAGAGTATATTTCTCAGCTCTTGATTTTGGGTTCAATAGAATGAAGTGAAAATGCCATTCTGCCAGTTCTGATATTAGGTCTCAAGAAGCCTTGTATATTCCCACTTGTTCTTTTGCATTTCTGCCTTCGTTAGACACAAGGAGCAGAGCCACGCTAGACAGTCCTACTTAGATTAGGTGACCCCCAGCCAACCCAGAAGCTCACAAGAAAAAAAATAATTGGTTTTATTTGAACTTACTGATTTGAAAGTATTTGTTATGCAGTGGTTGCTAACTGATACATTCCTCCAACCTTCAGAAAACAAAGGCTTCCCTTTATCCACTGTTTTTCTTTCCCTCATTGCCTGAAAGCCTGTACCACCTTTCTTAACATCTTCATCTTTTGCTTATTTCACAAACCACTGCTACCTTTCTGCCCCACTCTCCCTGTGAAAAGGGGCTCCCAACTTCTAATGGCCAAACACTACTTACTGCTGGCAGCCTTTAGCACCTTGAATCATCCAATCATCCTGCCCTTCTGAAACTCCTTCTTTGGCTTTCATTACACTTCCCATGTTTCTCATCTCCGTTTTCTCCTCTCAGCAGTCTCCACTCTGCCCTCTTTGCCTCTTGCTTTCCTTTCCTCTCCCCAGGGACCCTAGCCTCTCTCACGACTTTAAAAAGGACCGCAGAAGTGTTAACAGCTGTTTATAACCCCATGTCTCTTTGACATTCCAGCTGTGCACGTCTTCTTGACAGCTCCCACAGGGGATCCTGATGGTTTTACACAGGGAATGCTTGCAGATGGAGGAGAGGAGGATTGGCATGGGGAGAGATCAGCAGTCAGGGCCCCAGACAGGAAGGTACTGCAAGAGTCCAGGCAAGAGGTGATGTGGCCAGACTCAGATGTCAGAGTCACCAGAAACCCTTGATTGAGCACCTGTGCTTCCTCCTGCAAAGCTGCAGTTTTGTTTTTGAACTCGGGTGTAGGACTTCACATTTATCCATCTTAAACTATTCGTGGTTAGCTTTGACCCAGTACTTCAACCTGTCACACTCCTTGTTAATTCTGTTATACACGCTTCATTAGGCATCCCGCCCAGACCGATGTCAATCAGTCATTTGGTCAATGTGTTAACTTGTATCCTACCCAAGGCACAGACAACACTGAAAACAAAGGTCCTGGCAGGAAGAATACAGCAGTACCCGTTACGTGTTTGAGCTACCAAATGGTTGCATGTCCCAGAAATTGATGCAGGTGTGGCTGGTAAGTGAAACTAGAATTTGAGCATTATTGGATGCTTGGGGATTTGGAATGGGGGAGGGGGGTCAGAGGAGCATGGAGGGGACATGGAAGAACAGTACGGCTCACTGGAACCGCATATGATTGTAGCACCAGCCAGCAAGGAGTAGGAGGTTGGCGGGGGAGGATGACACCAAGAAGGGCTTTTGTAACAATTCTGCAGTGCAAGAGGGAAACCTAGAAGGTTGTAACACAACACAATTGTATTTGTACCCTTAAACAATCATTCCAGCATCAGTGTGGAGAACCCATCAGTGTGAAGTGATGGCTGGTGGTTGGATCAAAATGAGAAGCGATCAGGGTCTGAGCAAAGGTGACATTTGTGGGGAATGAGAAGAGGGGAGAGAAGAATGTGACTGAATTGACCAGAAAGAGGGCAGAGTTGCAGGGAGTTAGCAGGATCAGCCTAACGGTGGTGCCCCGGGCAGTAATAGGGGAAAGACACAAGTGAAATTATGATTCATAAAGAATGAATCAGTGTTTCATTCAAAAATATTGACTGAAAGGACATACATATCAAGTCAGCACTTACTTTGTTCCAGTCACTGAGCAAGACCTCGGGGATGTGTCTGTGAAGAAGACAGACATTGCGTGGCCCCGGAGGTCTGCAACCTGGTGTGGGAGGCAACCCGGAATGCGGGTGGGAGGCTCCTAGCACGCTGGGGGAAGCCCAGGGCAGATATTTAAGCTGGTTTGCAGGATGGGGTCAAGAGACAGGCAGACAGAATATGCTGGTAAAATAGCTCCAGGCAGAACTAACAGCCTGGAAGAGGAAAGCCCAGGGCAGGAACTGAAAAGCAGCTGGGTTTGCTAGGACCTCCTCCTCCTCCTCCCAGGAGGGAGCCAGGCCAGCCACCCGGTGCTTGAAGGACAGTGGCAAGGGCTTGGGTGTGTTTCTGGGTGTCCAGGGAAGCCATCGGAGGGTATGGGGCGGGGGGAGAGAAGGGCTGACAGCGGAGAGGGTTCTGCCCATCCGGGCAGGCACTCTGCGTTCATGAACTCCACAGCTGCTCGTTCATTAACTCCATAGCCAGCAGCCTCCGTGCACCCTGCATGGCTCTTCTGTAGTGAATTGACTCTCACAGACTCCTCCCCTTGGCACTGGTGGGGGCTGCAGAGAGGAGCTCTAAGGAGGTAGCATCCAGCCTCGGGAGGAGCTGCCAGGACACAGGGGCATCGTCTCCGGAGGTGGCCTGTCAGCTCCTCACTGCCTTCCCACAAGCAGCTCACACCAGACGCTACCTCCTCTCCATGAGGCCAGGGCTGGGTCCTGAGCCTTTCCTGACAGTGATAGTGGGAGAAGTCCTGTATGCCCTCCTCGCCCTGGCCCCCTCCTCCAGGAGCTAGTGTTCTGGTGGCTCAGGCTGTGTGCTACCCGGGGACACAGACAGGCGCAGCCAACTGTCAACTGAAAACCACTGCTCTGCTTGGAAATGTCCTCTGTCAAGGTGAAGGGCAGCCTGGTGCTGCCAGACACCATCAGGTGGCTGCAGGCACACCCTCCTCCTTCTTCCCACACCCTGGGCTGCACAGAGTCTCATTCATACAGATGGGCCAAGTCAGCGCCCCGTGAATGTCATGCTCTGGGCCCGGAAAACGGCAGAAGCTTCTTCCCCTGCAGCAGGAACAGCTGTCTGCAGTTAGGGCCTTGCCTCTGTTCCTGAAGCCGGCATCCGGACCAGGCCCTCTCCAGAGTGGGGGCTGGGAAGAGAGTGAGGCCTAGCTGGGAGGTCAGCCACCTTCTGTCCCAATAGCACTTTTTCACAGGTATGTCAGCCTGGAAATACCGATGGAAATACCAAGCCTCTTAGTGACCAGCTCTGGCCCACAGAGCTTACCTACTGTATGAGACACAGACTCAGATCGATGTCACCATGGCTGGGTCTGGTGAACACCTAGAAAGAACTTGGGGCCATCAGGGAGGAAGGATTAGCAGCCCTCACCCCTCACTGAACAAACAGAGGAGGCCAAAGGGGAGGAACATGGTGGTTCCCCCTGAGCCTCCAGTGGGAGGGAGGAGAAAGCATTCAAGTGGGAGACAGCTATAGTTCTCGTAAGAATACACATGAAAATGGGGTGAAGGACTGGGTGTGTCCTGAGACCCCAACTACAGCGAGGAGTGGATGGCTTCCTCCTCACATGCACTTCCATGACCTTCTTCCCAAATCAGTGCAATTGGCCCCTACTTTTCTTGAACTCCAGACTCATGTGTCCACCTGCTGCCCAGAGTCTCCACATAGGGACATTCCATACCAAACTATCCAGAGCTGCTCTCACCATCTCTCTCACGTGACTCTGTCCCTCGGTTGGGCACGTGGGCACAGCCACAGTCCTGTGAGGCACCCGAGTCCTCGCCCTTATCTTCCAGAAATGGTGCGGAACTAGGCGTGGTCAATGTTAAGTCTTGAATGTCTCACAAGTCCTGCAACTTCTGCCTCTGGGCTGTGGGTTTGAATCCCGCTCAGCCGTGTGCTCACTGTACCATCTTGGGCAAGCGGCCCTCGATCTGCCTCTGTTTCCGCATCTATAAAATCAGGGTAATGAGCACATGCCTCCTGTGGTGGTTCTGAGGACTGAGTTTTGTACTCATGAAGTGTCTATAGCGGCAGGTACTAAGTCAGCTGCCTTGATGATGGTATTAAACCCTTAGGACGGCATTCAAGACTCCCCTCCTGGCCCCTTCCACACATCCACACACCTATACAGGGCACACGCCTTGTTCTCTGATGGCGCCATGCTCCAGGCCCTGTGGCTCCATCTGCCTGGATTACACACAGCAAATCCCTTCCTCTGCTGGCAGTGAGCCCCTCAGGGCCACTGAGGGAGAGGACAGGGAAGCACCTCCTGAGCGGGGTTGACACTCACAGGTCACCTACCTTTGCCCCTTCACTTGCAGAGCCTCCCTGTGAGGCAGGTCTTCTCTTTGCCTTGCTTTTTGGGCAGGAAACTGCAGCTCAGTGATTCTTCAGCTCCAACAGCTGGTAGTGGAGCTGGACTTAAGCCCAGATGTGTGGCCTTCCACACACTTAATCCTCTCATGTCATTTAAGAAGAAAAACTAGAGGTCTTTGAGAGAGAAAGGACGTGAAGAGGAGGTGGAAACAATTCCCCCAGTGGTGGGTGTGCAATGTGTCCATTTAGCTAAGCTGAAACACATTTCTAGGTCTAATGAATTTGGGTCTCAAGTTGTCAGAGCTGCGAGGAGAAGCCTAGTGGCAGCTACATTTACCCTGGCAAGGTCAAGGTCAGCTTGAGGGCTTGTTGGAGCTCACCTTGCTGGGGGCAGGGGTGTGTGGCATCGTCCTGCAATTCCTTCTTCAGCTTCTCTGAATCTGGGTTCAGCCGGGGGAGCTCCACAGTAAATTGTGCTGTCCTGGGGTGAGCCCACATTCTGGAAGACGAAGGGCTCAGAGTGTCTGTCTCCACAGATTCCAGCGCTTCCTCATGGGTTCTCACTTTCAGCCGGCCTTGACCTGCCCTGCTGGCTCAGGGACAGTGTGTGAGGTCTAACCCCTCTGGCAACCCTGGCGTGTCACTCTGTGGTTGGTCCAGAATTAGTTCAATGGATATTGGGTTAAATGGGTAAATAAGGGGTTGAAAAAAAAATCAATATTTTGGTTGCTTGGCAATTTAAATTGCAGAAGAACTAAAACTAAGGGAAGTCGTGTCTTCCAGCCTTCCTCTAAAGGACAGATTAACATATATTACAACATGTTCTCCCAAAAGTCCCCTGTGATCACAGCTTTTTAAAGTAATGTAGATGGCTCACAGTGTTGTGATTGAATTACAATCCATATTGAATTAGTTGATGATAAAGGGGTTGTGAATTTTTATGTGGTTTTGTGATTTGACTTTAGGGTGTTGGGCAATATACACCCTCCTCCATGGGAGGAGCTAGGTGATCCTGATAGGAATCAGATGTGCGTCCATCAGACTTCTGCCTCGTGGCAGCCCCGTGGCGCTGGGCCATGGAGGAACGTGAGATGGGAGAACGGCTGGTTAGGCAACAGCCACTCCTATCAGGAAATCTAAGCCGACGTTACATCCAACTGAAAAAGCAAGCCAAGAAAACAAAAGCAGGTGCAGAATTAACAGTCTGAAATTAATACCTGCCTAGAGTCAAAGGATTGTTCAAAACGGCAGAGAAATTCTAGATTGAATTCCCTATCTTATAAGGTCTCATTTGATCTTCTAAACATCAGACAAGCAAGCGGAACAAATTTGCCCCCCTTCAATGAATCTAGCTTTTGATGTCTTTCCACTGAGTTATCCTCCAGCTCTGGAATCCAAGATTTCCTCTTTTTCCTACGGGGCCGTGACCAGTGAAGTATCTGCCCCTATCCGGGGGCTGGAGAGCGGAAGATGCATCCATTTCCAAAGATACTGCCTTTGGGGTCAGGCCTAGCCTTAAATCCCAGCTCTGTTGCTGGCTATTTGCCCTGGAGCAAGTTCCTTACCCCCTCAGTAACGGGGTTCTCCTCCATGAAGTGAGGTCTCTGTAGGGGCCTAATTCAAGCCAGGATTAGTATGTTGTTTTCCTTTGCTTTCATTATGGTAGCTACATAAAAGCACTTTCCAGTTTTCAAAAATAAAATGATGGCCTTGTTCACATTCATTTTCAACCCTTTCAGTCTTCTTAGGAAGAAGACCTTTGTCCATCAATAGGCCCTCACTGCAGTATCAGAAACCTCCCTGAAAGAACAAAAAGTTGATTTCATGCCAAATGTAGTGTTTTGGATTAAAAAAAAAAAAATCCACTTTAATTTTGGCTCATATGAGTAGACTAGTAAGATCTGTAAATCTATTTGGAAACATCTATCTTTTCATATTAAAAAAATTGTAGTGACTTTCCAATTTCATTTTCTATTGCATTGTTACGCTCTCTTCCAGGTCTTGTGTAATTTCCAGACTGCACTGTGGCTCCCGGCAGCTTTGTATCACACAGACCAGTGTGGCTAGTGACCAGTGTGGCTAGTAACAGAGGCTTGACAGGCTCACTGCTCCTCCCTCTCTCTGGTGTATATGCTGCCCCTGAGCCGCCAAGGATGAGAACCCATGGAGGCCAGGGGTTGAGAAACGTTGCATCAGGGCTGTGTGCCACTCGGCCTTTTCTCCAGGGGCAATCCTAACATTTGGGCTGATGCCCAGCAGAGCCTCTTCCAGGAACATCATGACCTCAATCCCTGCTGGCTCACTCTGCCATGGACCCCCCAGGAGCCTCCCAGGCGGCAGTAGGGAAGGGCACAGAGTATTTCCTGACACCCTGAGCCTCTCCTGGTTCCCAATCTTGAGGACCAAAGAAGGAGGAACAGAGTTTGGCCTCAGGCCACCAGGGGTTTGTACCCCAGTGCTAGCCAGTGCTGTCTGGGAGAGTTAAACTGTTCAGAGCCTCAGTTTCCTCAAATATAACATGGGAGTGGCTCTGGCTGTGATGCGTATTTAGTGCCAGGCAGGCGGTGGTGGTCCGTCAGTGACAGCCTCACTTGGACAATGGGACAGCAACAAGGCCATGCAGTTAGCCAAGTGCATGGGAAGATGGCGCGGGGCCTCCAGGCAGCTTGAGCGCCCCCTAGAGACCAGCCCGCCCTCCCCCTGGGGCTTTCCCTGTTGGGAGTGACAGGAACACAAAACAGAGGAAGGAAACCGACCACGGAGTGTGTGGCACCTTTTTATTTAGTCAGTCTTTATTTAAATGTGTGTTTTGAAATAGCTTATTAAATAGGACCTTCTCAAAGTTCAATTCTCACAATATTTACAGCAAATTTTGTGCAAACATATTTTGACTGAGCTTCTTGCTCCCCCCTTTCACATTAGTAATTTACAAATTTGTCTCACACAAAACCCCAGCTACTTCATTCATGGCCTCTTAGGCTTTAGTTGTCTGTTTGACAGGCACTGATCTAGGGTAGGGGCTTGTTGGCCAAGAGCTAATTCATGCCCAGAGGAAATAAAATGTTTTATTTATCAAAAACAAATTACAACAAGACCTTGCTTTCCAAATGGAAACATGTGTCCTAAGATGTTGCGGAACAGCATTAGCAACCAAATAAATTCCCAATGATTATTGTGCCGTCTCTCTCTCTCTCTTTTTTAATATTTACAGTCCTCTCTTTTAAGCAAATAAGCAAAATCAGAAAAGTCAAATTCTAAGAGAGCCTGGACCGTCAGGGAACGTTATAAAAATAATCTGACTTCAGTGACTAAAGAACGAAGGTCCTCAAATGGGCTGCTGGCTGGCCGTCTGCGTTGGCCAGAGCTGTTACGAGAGGTCCCGCAGGCCCCGCCCCATTGGCCTCAGGACTCGGCTCTGGGCCCAGAACCACGCGGACCTGCGCCCCTGCCAAGGGTGCACCCCTGCCAAGGGTGCACTCCTGCCAGGTAATCCTTCACATACAAAAGCGACAGAGGGCACTGATCCCGGAGTCACATCCTTCCCTCTCTGGTGGAGAAATGCCTGGGTGAAGAACACAGCACACGGTATCTTACAAAGTGAGGGTCCTGATGGAAGGCGACCACCCATGATTTGGAAACACAATTATGAAAAAAATACATATTAATAATTATACCCTTAACGTCTTGCAAATAGAGCTTTAGGATTTTATTTTATACATTTGAGGTCTGAAAACAAACCATAACCTTTTTCATTGTTGGTCCATGCCTTTTTTTAAAGAACACAAGTTAAGTCCTTTAATCATACTAGAATGCAAGAGAATATTTGAGACCAAAGTTTTGTAGGTTTTCTACCTTGTTGCCGAAAGCTTTGATGGGAAAGCAGATTGGCAGCTAACTAGAAAATAATCACATAAAGGTAAGAAGAGATAACTTTTGGTCATGTGAGAGATTTTTGCACACATTTAATCATTTGCCCTTCCAATGTAAGTTCCCTTATTTATAAAAGCTGTCTAACCCTCTGGACCCATGGTTTTGTACAAGCCAGGCATCCCGATGCGTGATTCCTACTCTAAAACAATTTCCACCGTGAAAAAACGTTCCCATGACGACAATGAAGAACAGGCTAGTTATTCCAAACATCCCCTAACCCTCCAGGCGTCAGTGTGAAACAGCAGTGCCTCCTGCTTCACCGTCTGTGAGCAGGTCCTGCCTGCGGGTCCCAAGTCCCCGTGACACCGGCTGACCCATCCTCCTCTTGCTGAGCAGGTCCCCCACTAACTGCTGACTGGGCTGGAGGTTGCAGGGGGCGTGCCAGGAAGTGGGGTGCTGAGGAGAGCCGCTGGACACGGCCCTGGACACTGAGGGAGAGGAGGCGCGCTTCCCTAGCAAGTTAGCTCCAGTCCAAACACGCAGGCAGGGAACAAGGACGTGTGGCGACTGAAACAGGGACCTTGTTTCGCCAGCTCTCTCCGCAGCTTGACAAACCTGACTGTCCGAGTGCAGGTGGGCGGGATGGTTTTGTGCCTCTCGCCCCAACGGCCAGTTCTCCTCTGAGAACTTAATTTTGAGGGCTCAGTGATGCTTGTCCTTTGAGCTTCTACTTGGTGGCCTGTGGTGACTCAGGGCTCGGGTCTGCAAGACCATGACCCTGCCGCCTTTTGTCAACAAAGGGTTAAAACTGTTTTTATCAACGTCTAATACAATGGCTCTGATTTCACATTAATCATCCCAGACTTGATTCAAATGAATACATTATTCTAGGTTAATCATTTTTCATTCAAATGTTTATATACCATCTACCCTGAACAATGAATTGAGGAAAAAAACAGGCACCTCCAAAACCTTCCCAAGAATAATGACTTTTTCAAATGACACTTTCTGTACAAACTGCACAAATGACACGGTGACTGTGGCAGGAGGGTGGGTGAGCCCCTCAGGGAGTGGTTTTCTTCAAGTCCCGGATCTGCTTAATCAGGTAGTTCTTCTCATCGGTGAACTGCTCATCGTCCGTCCTTTCCTTTTGGAAGCTGCTCAGAAACTCAATGAGTTTGGGTTGATTTTTTAATAGAATCTCCACGATAGGCTGCGTCTTGTGAGGACTGGCCACAAACACCTGAAACGTAAAGAAACAAATACTTCAGACAAGGAACGCACAGCAGCGACAACACAGACCCCACTGGGGTTCCTCGTGCTACTTGTGTTTGTAAAATATAGAGGCCCCCAGGTTATGCTTCCCCATTGAGGGAAATCAGTAATTCCCCATCCATATCCGTGTTGTGGGCAGCTAGCCAGGAGCATACATTAGAGCTCCCTATGAACATTTTAAATTTTCCTTTTTTTTATTTTATTTATTTTTTTGTTTCGATTTTAAATGTCTTAAATGTTGGAGCGCCTGTGTGGCTCAGTCAGTTAAGCATCTGACTATGGCTTAGGTCATGATCTCACGGTTCATGGGTTCGAGCCCTGTGTCAGCTCTATGCTGACAGCTCAGAGCCTGGAGCCTGCCTCAGATTCTGTGTGTCCCTCTCTCTCTGCCCCTCCCCAGCTCATGCTCTCTCTCTCTCAAAAATAAACATTAAAAAAATGTTTAAAAATTAAATGTCTTAAATGTTTATGTGCTCTTAACATAGAATCTTTCCAACAGGAAAGAACATAATGGACACCAATATACTCAATATACTCATCAACAACTTGAGAATCAAATCCCTCTTTTTAAAGGAATAAAACACTACAAAAAGAGGCAAACTCTCACTTTCTATCTCTTCCCACTCCTTTGTGCAGTGTACTTACATCCCCAAGCATGTTTTTATCCTTTTCGTCCTAATTTATACACACACACACACACACACACACACACCATATAGTATTTGAGTGTGCTTTTTAAAATAACTTAGTTTTTGAACAGGTAATATATTCACCTGGCTCGAAATTCAAAAAAGACAAAGGTGAACAATTCCCCTCTCACCTTTCCTCTCTGGAGGTCACCAATGATACTGTTTCCTTAAGTATGTGGAGTTTTAAAATTTACAAATTCCCCGGCTCCACCTCCCAGAGATTCCAACTCAGCAGATTTAGGGTGGAAGTGTGGCATTCTGGATTTTTACAAAGTTCCACAAAGAGTCTAATGTGCACTACTATTGAAACCACAATCCTGGACTAACTCAGCTGTACTATGAAAGACAGAAATGACTATAGTAATAGGACATCATAACTCATAACTTTTTTTTAATTTTATTTTTAAGTAATCTCTACATGCCACATGGGGCTCGAACTTATAACCCTGAGATCAAGAGTCACATGTTCTACTGACTGAGAGCCTGGCATCCCTCAAAACTACAATACTGATTGGTATAATATTTCTCAATGAATACACTTCCAAGTTAGATGCTACATAACTGTCTATATGACCAGAATACTCATAACAGTATGTGACTCATATACAGCTCTCTAGTTTCACGTTGTGGGCTCCTCACTCCTTGAAAGGGCAGCGTGCTTTATCACCAGGCCCTCTGGCCCATCCCATACTTCCAACGGTGTGTGTTCTAAACGTACTACAGACAAGTATTGGTTATAGGGATAGTGAAGGCTACAGGGTTGAGCCCTCAAGGTTTCTCCAGCCCAGAAATCATGAAGAGAGAGAAAAATACACAAATATGTAAAGGGATGCCAAGGATGAGGGGTATGGGAAAATGAGGAGTAATTGCCCAATGGGTATAAGGTTTCCTTTTGGGGTGAGGAAGATGTTCTGGAACCAGATAGTGGTGATAGTTGTGCAGCACAGTAAATATATGAAATGCCACTGAATGGTACATTTTAAAATGGTTAGAATAGTGCAGTTAATGTTATGTGAATTTTACGACAATAAACTAAAGTTGATACTTATAAAAAAAAAAACAAAAAAAAAAAAGGACGCCTGGGGCACCTGGGAGGCTCAGTCTGTTAAGCATCCAACTTAATTTTGGCTCAGGTCATGATCTCATGGTTCCTGAGACTGAGAGCCCTGCACTGGGCTCTGTGCTGACAGATTAGAGCCTGCTTGGGATTCTCTCTCAGACCACTCTGTCTCTGCCCCTCCCCTGTATGTGTGCACACTCTCTCTCTCTCTCTCTCTCTCTCTCAAAATCAATAAATAAACATTTAAAAGAAAAAAAAGACCACTGATTGGTTTACACTGTTATACAGAATGCCTGACCTTTATATAATACCTATTAATATGTCAGAAAATCATGTGCTAAAGTCAAATATGTGCTCCTGTGTGGTTACCATTTGCTTACAAGGGACTTGCTGTGAAATTTTAGGTATAAACTGGCATTTTGTGGTAACTACATAAATAACTCATAATAGTCTTTCTTTCTAAAAAAAAAGTAACTATACTGGACAAACTAAGCTTCTCTGTTTCAATCCAACATAAATGTGAAATGTAGAATTTGCAGTCAGGCATCACTGGATTAATGACACCAAATCTACACACTGTACACCAAAAAAGTTGTTAAATTTGTGTTCAAGTTTAAAATTTTTCCCTGTTTTAATTTTTTATGATTCCTGAACTCTACTGCTTCTAAAGGTGGCTGCTGGTTAGAGGCAGCTAATGCAACAGCGCACAGTCCCTCCGAGGGGGCCAAGAAACGGAGGGCCCCGGCGCGGCTGGAGATAAACCAGCAGCATAAGGAACGTACTTCTTCTTTTAATGTTTGTTTACTTTTGAGAGGGAGAGAATGTGAGCAGGGGAAGGGCAGAGAGAAAGAGGGGGACAGAGGATCTGAAGCAGGCTCTGTGCTGACAGCAGAACTCAACAAACCTGATCATGACCTGAGCCGAGGTCGGACGCTTAAATGACTGAGCCACCCAGGCGCCCCAGGAGTGCACTTCTAAATCAAGGCATGGTGAACCAAGTCTTCTGAATATTGTGCCCAGTATAGGCAGTTTCTTGGTTCTCTTCGGCTGGACCCATTTTTTTTAACATGCTATTTTCAAACTATCCCCGAACAAGTCAGGCAAATGGAACTACCTGTGGCTTCTCTTTTCATACTGTGGTCTTATTGGCTGTATGCCTTCACTGACACATGTTTCAGAAATGTGATTCATGGAGCTCTCAAGCATGGGTAGAGAAAGGCAAATATCATGACCACAATGCAAATATTTTTAACTCAGAAAACTAAGATTACCTTGTTCTCTATTTTAA